TGGGCGGGGCATCCGGGCCAAAGACGAACAATGGCGTTGCTCAAAACGGCCTATTTTTGGCCTCACATGTGGGACAGTGTCGATGTATATGTAAAGACTTTTCTTGTGTGCCAACACGACAAGGTGGAGAACAAACAGCCGGGAGCCACTCCCAATCCCCGAGCGACCATGGGAGTCAATCTCAATGGACTTCATAAGTGCCATGCCGACGTCCGAGGGGTCCAGGTCTATCATAGTGGTGATAGATCGCTTTTCGAAGTACGGGACGTTCATAGCTTGCCCGAGGGATTGCACCGCGGAGGAGGCAGCACGGTTCTTTTTCAAGAGCGTCGTCAAATATTGGGGATTACCGAGGAGCATTATAAGTGATCGAGACTCACGCTTCATGGGACGACTATGGAATGAACTTTTCAAACTTTTGGGGTCCAAACTTTGCTTCTCGACAAGTTATCACCCCCAAACCGACGGGCAAACGGAGAGGGTCAACTCCCTACTCGAGTGCTACTTACGGCAAACTACTCGACGTGGCTCAATTTTCTTACAACTTGCAGCAGAGCGAAGCCACGGGGAGGAGTCCATTCAAGCTTGCAATGGGACAACAACCGCTTACGCCACAAACTTTAGCTACGACAACTGATGGAAGGAGTCCCGGAGCATTGAAGATAGCTAAGTCGTGGGAGGAACAAGCCGACTTAGCCCGGGCGTGCCTTGAGAAAGCTAGGCGACGAAGGAAGAAATGGGCGGACGACAAACGGCGACCATGGGAATTCGACGTTGGGGCCCAAGTGATGGTAAAACTATTGCCCCAACAGTTCAAGGCGTTGCAGAGCATATACAAGGGTCTTGTGCGGAGGTACGAAGGACCGTTTCCGGTGATCGTCAAAGTCGGTAAAGTTTCGTATCGCCTAGAACTTTCAAGTTCTTTGAAAATTCATCCGGTCTTCCACGTGAGTTTATTGAAGCGACGTAGGGGAGTTCCACCAAATATTCAATACCTCATCAAATGGAAGGGATTACCAGAGTCCGAGGAAACGTGGGAATGAAGACCTATGGCAATTTCAAGATCGTCTCCACTTATTCGAGGCAACGAGGACGTCGACGGATTGGCGGGGGAGGATGTCACGGCCCGCCAGTTTTGGCCCAACCATTTGCCAGTTTCCCTTGGGTTGGGAAGTTAAGGAAGCCCAAAACTTAACCCAAATAGGGTTAGGCACAAGTTCGCCCAAATATATAGAGAAGTAGAGATTCTTGGAGGATTGTAGAAAATATTCTAGAACCCTCCCATTGTGGATATTTTGTAGGAATTCTTTGGAGGGTTCTAATGAACCACTCTCTAGATCAAATAGATCTCCACCGTGCATTAAGGAGATGGACTAGTATAAATAGGGGTAGAGTCCTCATTTGTAAATCATCCAACAAATCCAACAAATCCAACATCCAAGCAATAAAAGTATTTTCCTACAAACTCTCTTATCTTCTTAAGTACTTCCTTCGTTTTCCATTAACAAATCCGTGATAGTATGCTAGCCATTTCGTGTTACCAATCTCAATTTCTTCAGTTGTGCCATGACTAGAGCTACCGTCATGACTAGAGCTACCATCAGCAGACCAACCATCATCAATGTCAGGAAATATCAGCCCTACACAAGGACAAAGACAAGAGAAACAAAATAAACAAAACATAACAACAAAGCAGAGCATAACAACAAAATAAAACAAAATAAATGGGCTCTTACCAAATTTGTTCTGCATAAGTGATTTCACTAAAGTAAAGTCTTCCCTTGTTCCTTTCATAAGGTCAAAACCTACACATGCCTTTAAGTACATAAGTCTCGAACGAGATTGAGGCAGTGTTGGATGTATTCTCCGATTCCCAAGAATGGTACTTTCTACTTGTGCCACATTCCTCACATCATCCTCTGCATCCGACAATGGTGATGCGGTACTTTCTACTTGTGCCACGTTCCTCACATCATCCTCTGCATCCGACAATGGTGATGCGTAATGTGTTGCTATTAGTGCTAGGGCTTCATTTTGGATCAACGGCTGCCATTCTACATCAGAATAAATAATCAAAACAATATTAATAACTAAAACGCACTAAAACTTGATACATGCTTGTACTGCCCTTCTCCAATTTATAGACATTTCGACTGTTACATTCAACCATTTATACAAATTCCAAAACACCTACACAACATACAGACTAGGACTGTACTACCACCATTTAAACAAAATCAAATCACATTAATCAGGACTTTTAAACCAAACAACCGTTATATACATATGTTTTTAAATCTTTTTTCAACCATTAATAGAGTCTACAAAACAGAAATCAGAACATAAATAACTAAAAAGCCCTAAAAGTTTTGGAATATATTTCTACAATTTAAACATATTCCAAACACAACTAAGCAAACATATCTATATAAACACAACTAAGCAACATACATATTTCAACCACTAATACAGTCTACAAAACAGAAATCAGAATATAATTAACTAAAAAGCCCTAAAAGATTTGGAATATATTTCTACAATTTAAACATATTCCAAACACAACAACGAAAACATATTTATATAAACACAACTACGCAGCAAACAAATTTCAAACATTAATACAGTCAACAAGACATAAATCAGAACATAATTAACTAAAAAGCCCTAAGAGATTCGGAATATATTTCTACAATTTAAACATATTCCAAACACAGCTAAGCAAACATATATATATAAACACAACTAAACAGCATACAGATTTCAACTACTACAATTTATCCAGATCCGTAACACATCAAACAGAGAAAATTAACTATAAAACACTCAGTGAAACACAGATCTGGAATGCTCTCCTCGGATTTATGCAGATTATCAATAAAACATCTTATCATATTTAAAAATCAAACAGAAATATACCAGAAATAAACTGAAATTAGGGCGCAAATACAGAAGGGCAAACCGAAGAAATCCACAGCTGTCGAATCATCACCATTACTTAATTCGATCGTCAATTCTAGGGAATCGCTAAGTCGGTTTAAATTCTTCAACCACCCCAACTTGCTCCCATCTTGATTATGAAATTCTTTCAATGTGACAAGGCTGGTTGGTTAACTGGGCTAGTCCTTGAGGATATTGCTTCAAAGAATAGGTATATTCGTTATAGAGGTGTTTGAGGTTTATGAGCCTGTGGATCCCTTGGGGAAGTCGAACAAGACTCACGCATGAATTAATATTCAAGCTTTCTAATTCGCGCAAATTGCACATGCTCTCCAGCAACTCCTCTATAAGTTCATTAGAGCTTAAGTTCAATTCTTTCAATTGAGTCAAATTCCAAATTTCACGCGGAATCTCTTTTAGCTTGCACCCTTGCACCAAAAGAAATTGCAAGCTGTAAAGTTTACAAATGCTCTTCAGATCGTCTTCGGCGATAAAGTTATTTCAACTCAAATCCAACCACCTGGATCAACTTTTCTATTTCTTCTGTAATATCTCTCAAGCCACATTTGCTTAGGCTTAGCAACCTCACACTTGTGAGGCCATCACAAATATGTTGATCATGAAGTTCTTTGGTGAGAAATAAGCTACGATATTTTTCGACTTGGGGAACTAACAAAGGGCTACAGGTTTGGGAATTTGTTTCTCTCATTCTTGACCCCACATTTTTTCTAAGAATTTGAGCAAAATCATGTATTATATCATGCATCTTAAATGATCGTATCGACTCCTCATCCAAATTTGATGTTTTGTTAAAGTCTTGAAACAAAGAACGCATTGTTAACTTATCAAAATACTCTCTCCCTCTAACTTCCCAATCACTATTGTATTCTAGGTAACCCAATGCCAACCATCTTCTTATTATGTCCGCAACGCTAATTTCGATATCTTTAGTAAAGACAGTGCAATATGAGAAACAACGTTGAAGCGTTGGGGACAATTCTTTGTAACTTAGAAGCAAATGGCGGAAGAGGTCATCTTCTACCTCCTCCAATTCCCATATTTCACTACTCAATACGTTGTCCCATGCTTCCACACTATTCTTAAACTGCAAAAGACTTCCCAAAGTCTTCGCTGCAAGTGGCAACCCCTTGCACTGATGTTCTTGAATTTTTCACGTTCATTCTCGCTCTTTCCAGAAAGTACTATCCGACTTAATAATAACTAACACTTTTCATTGGATAGATGTCCTAAATGGTGGATGTCATTCTTAACGCTACCCATCATTACAACAACCCTTTCGTTTCTGGTCGTCACCAAAATTCTACTACCCAAACCACCACCTTTGAGACAAATTCTCAGAGGTTCCCACTTGGTATCGTCTTCCGTCCAAACATCATCCAGGACAAGAAGAAACTTTTTTCCTGGAAATCGTCTCTTGTAGACATTTTAGTATTCTTTCGAATTGATTGGAGTGAGAAATCCAAAATAGTAAGAAAATAACTCATTTATATAAGATTGGTCTAATTTAACTTTGCACTCTTGAAATGTACTATTTGCCACTTTGCACCCCTGAATAGTTTATGGCACTTTACACCCTAGAAATATGTTTAATCGTTCAGATTGAAACCTAGTTTATTTTACGGGCCAGAATTTTCATCGTTGGCCTAATTTCTGAAAAGAGTCATATTTGCTCGAAAATACATTAGCAATTCGAACTCTGAAGAAAAATTCAATTGAATAGACAAAAATAACCATGATCAAAAAATACGTAAACGACAGAAAATTATGTCAAAACAAAAATAGACTAGGGTGCACTTAAATAACTAAACAATTTTGAAGGTGCAAAGTGCCATAAGTTATTTTTTAGGATACAAAGTGTTAAAATAGTATATTTTGAGGGTGCGTAGTGGAATTAAAAAAAAAATCATTCCATTTACTGCCTTTCTTTTTTTTTTTGGATTAAAAAAAATAATAATAAATAAAAAAATATACTGAAGGAATTAAATTGAATTTATTTTCTTAAAAATAATTGAACTCAAGTTAGCTTGCGGCGGTGTGAGAAAACATACCAAAGGTTTGTGGATAGAACCGAAACCACCGTACGTCCATCTCTCTCTCTCTCTCTCTCTACACCACAGCCACTGGAAAAGAAACACACTGCACAGTCAGTCTCTCTCTCTCTAGAAAAATACCAATACAAAAATAAACAGAGCGGAACGCAGAGTTGGGTTTTAGTTTCGGGCAGGTATGTTTTATCAATTCAAGAAAATAGTAACTCCGGTATCCCCATTTGAATTTGGATTTATTTGGATAAGATTTTTTTTTAATGTATTTTTGTTGGTGTTTCTGATTATGTTGAAATAGTTGTTGTTAAGTTGCCATAGAAGCTAAGAAGCATGTAGCAAGTGTGTAGCTCAACTGAGTTAACTCAGCATCCCTGTAGATAAATTCAAGTGTGTTATGATTATACAATGAATTGCTTTCGAAAGAATCGAAAAGGGTTTCTTGATTTTACAACGAATTGCCGCTTTCGAAGATTTTTTATCTTTGTTGAAGTAAAGATCGCATTTTTAGAGACCATAGAACGAGCGGAGTTTAAAGAAAATAATAATTTCGATGAACCCGTTTTTTCGATTTACTTTGTTAGCAGACTAATGGAAGCGTTTATTTATCAAATATGTTATGATTATACAATGAATTGCTTTTGAAGAATCGAAAAGGGTTTCTTGTGCTTATAACGAATTGCCGCTTTTGGAAGACTTTTTATCTTTGTTGAAGTCAAGATCGCGTTTTTTAGAGACCATAGAACGAGTTGCCATTAAAGAAAAAAAAAATCTTGATGGACCCTTTTTTTCGATTTAATTTGTTAGCAAACTAATCAAATAGTTTATTAATCAAGTGTGTTATGATTATACACTGAATTGCTTTCGAAGAATTGAAAAGGGTTTCTTGATTTTATAACGAATTGCCGCTTTCGATGATTTTTGATCTTTTTCGTAGTAAAGATCACGTTTTTAGAGACCATAGAACGAGCTGAGATTAAAGCGGCAATTCGTTATAAATCTTGACGAATCCTCTTTTTCGATTTACTTTCTTAGCAAACTAATCGAATCGTTTATTAATCAAGTCTGCTATGATTATACAATGAATTGCTTTCGAAGAATTGAAAATGGTTTCTTGATTTTATAACGAATTGCCCGCTTTGGAAGATTTTTCATCTTTGTTGTAGTAAAGATCATGTTGTAAGAGACCATGGAACGAGCTGAGATTAAAGAAAACGAAATCTTGATGGCCCCTTTTTTCGATTTACTTTGTGAGCAAACTAATCGAATCGTTTATTACTTTTTTCGATTATTCAAGAAATGGCGACGAAGCTACTAGTATCTCCAATCTCTCATAATCCCACATTTTCGACCCAAGACCCGACCCGAGTCCACTCGTGGGCCCCACATATTCGGATGCCATCAAGACAGAGAAGCGTCGTAGTTCGATTATCTACTACTTCAGCACTTGTGGAGCATCTGCACCAAGATCCACAGTCTCTGTTTATGCTAGCGGATAATGCTGGCTACTCGTTGGCTAGTTATTACACTTCGCTCGGTCTATTTGTTATCTCGGTTCCCGGTCTTTGGTCCCTCATTAAACGCTCCGTTAAATCTAAGGTACCCGTAATTTTTATTTATTTATTTTAATTTCCTTTTTTTACGGACAATGGGTTGCGATTACAATTTAATTATATATTATTGTAGTCATTAATATTGGTGTTCGAATTCGCAGGTTGTGAAGAAGACATTCGTAGGAGAAGGGGAGGTGAAGAAGGCGCCTAGCCAGGTGGCAGGCGAAATTCTTTCGTTCTTTACACGAAACAATTTCGCAGTGGCAGATAGAGGGGAGACAATAACGTAAGCGACTTGTAATAAACCTTAAAACTTTAATTCATTTATTTATTAATTAAAAAAAAATTAAAAAAAATATTAATCTATATTTCGGTTTCAGATTCGAAGGAATGATGACACCGAGCCGCGGTCAAGCAGCGCTGCTAACATTTTGCACCTGTATTAGTCTTGGAAGTGTGGCGCTTGTTCTTACGATAACTTACCCCGATTTCGGAAACTATTGGTTCTTGCTAACCGTTTTCAGCCCCCTAGCGTAAGTAGTGTAATAAATACGTAACATATTATACGTAGCGTTTTTTTTCGTCTCATTGTTTTTTTTTCAATGAAAAAAAACAGAGGAGCGTACTATTGGACGAAAGCTTCTAGAAAGGAGGAGATTAAGGTAAAGATGATAGTAGCGGAAGACGGGAAGCTATCGGAAATAGTCGTTCAAGGCGACGACCAACAGGTGGAGCAAATGAGAAAGGAGCTTCAGTTGAATGAAAAGGGCATGGTTTATGTCAAGGGTATTTTTGAGAAATGATAATTTTGCTTTATATAGCAAATTTTTTTATTTTTTTTTAATTTAATTATTATTTTCTCACCACCAATTTTGATGATTATTGTATGAGAATGTAATATATATTTTATAATTTTTTTTGTATTCATTGCATACATCGATTCGCAACAAGTAAGTAAGGTTATACTAAGGTCGTGTTTGCAAATGCTTTTTTAAAGTGATTATGCGGTTTTTTTTTATCATAATCTATTTTTAGGTGTTTGCAAAATCAACTTTTGCTTTTACTTCTCTTAAAATAATCTGCTTTAAGCTATTTTTTTAAAAGTACCCATAACCCTGCTTTTTCAATTTTAGTTCATTTTCCGAAATATTTGCAAACACCCCCAACTTTAAAAAATAAGCACTTAAAACTAACTTAAATCACAATCACTAACTTCTGCTTTTAAATAATCATTTGCAAACACCACCTAAGGTGGTGTTTGCAAATGCTTTTTGAAAGTGATTATGCAGTTTTTTTTGCTCATAATCTGTTTTTAGGTGTTTGCAAAATCAACTTTTGCTTTTGCTTCTCTTAAAATAATCTGCTTTAAGCTATTTTTTTAAAAGCACCCCTAACCCTGCTTTTTCAATTTTAGTTCATTTTCCGAAATATTTGCAAACACCCCCAACTTTTAGAAATAAGCACTTAAAACTAACTTAAATCACAATCACTAACTTCTGCTTTTAAATAATCATTTGCAAACACCACCTAAATAACGTTGGTATTGATATCGATTTTATTAGTGCTTTCGACGGGGTTTGTTTCTCGGTTTTTTTAATCCCTGGATTTCATTGATCTTATTATACTATCAAAATTTTCATTTGGCAAGTACGATATTGGTATATTGTTGGAAATTGAAAGTCCATGACACCTGATGAAAATATTTTGGGGCTGTTTATATAATTATTTAAAAGTTTGGGGAACCTTTTTAGGTAATAATTATAAGATGGAAACCCGTTTCCACTAAGAAATATCCAAAACCCATTTTAAATAAAAATTCGAAATTGCATACGCTTAAAAAGAAAAAATCTTATGTCTATTTTCTCACTTCTAATGGTGTGTTTTAATACTTTTATAGATGCTAATTCCATACTAAAGTCCAGTCTTCACGTTGGTCACGTTTCGACTGCGGGGGCGTGTTAGAGAATATTATATTATAGAACTCTTGTAATATTAGGATTCTAGTATGATTGAGTTACCTAGATTAGTTAGGATTTAGTTACCTAGTCAAACTCTATTACCTGCAATATTTCTCTATATATATTCCATGTAATCAACCCATAACACAATGGGGGTTTCTATCACTAATAATATTTCTCTCCTTCTCTTTCTTCTATTCTTCCTATATGGTATCAGAGCACCAGGTTTTTTATTTGTATTGTAAATATGGGCTTAATTCTACTTTGCACCCTCAAAATTGAGCTTTTTGGCACTTTGCACTCTTAAACAATAATAATAGGATTTTGCACCCTCAAAAGTCAAAACACAATAAATCATACACAATGTACCATGAATTGAATTATAAAGAGAATTTAATTTTTTATTGGTCTTCTTTTCCAGGGTTCAAAATAAAAAATTAAATTGTTATTTTTTTCAACCTCCAACCTAATTTCAAGCGCACAGAGTGCGAAAAATATAAATCACACTGAATTATTGAAAAAAACTATATTTTCTTTCCAAAAAAATAAAATAATGTTTTTATCAGTAAATTATTTTATTGATAAATCTTTTATTGTAATGGTGGAAATATTATGTATAAATATTTGGAAGAAAAAATGTGATTTTCAGGTAACATGATAATGAAATAGCCGAGGATTTTCTTTTTAATAAAACATTTTTTTGTGATAATTTTTTTATTTATAAATATATTGATAAAATGTATTTTTATTTTTTTCGCTTTATAGTTTCAAAATGATTTATGAATAAAAAAATTGTTTTGACATTTGTCATCTTTAAACAATACCACTACAAATATTAAATTGTATTTATTAACTTTTAAAAATCCATTTGGGTGCATTATGCATGATATATTATGTTTACAGGGTGCAAAGTATTATTAATTTGTTTTGAGGGTGCAAAGTGTCAAAATTGTATATTTCAAAGATGCAAAGTGAGATTAAGCCTATAAATATGTAATGGACGATAAATATATAAATTAACCGTTATAATATATTTTAGACATTGTGAGTGTATTCCTATATTTTTAATATTTACACGTCTTCCCTCCCGTATTCAACTTTTTAGAGAAAAAAAAATGTTTCCCTGTATCCGTTTCCCTGTTTCGTCGTCTCAATGTTTGACAAAGGTAAAAGTAACAGACTAATTAAAAGAAAAAATAATAAAAAAACTTAAAATGCGAGAATAATTTTCCTAAAAAAATTAAAAAAATAATCGAAAAATAATTAGTGGGCCCGTTTGGGTTTTTAATTATAATTAAACAGATAAAACAGAAGCCCGTATATTGAGATAATAAGGCCCGACCCGTTTTATGGTAAGAAGATCCGGCCCATATCACAATTGGTAAGTGAATTGGAAAAAAAGAGGAAATTGGAGAACAGAAACATAATAAAGAAGAGAAGAGAGAGAGAGAGAGGGAGTGGGTCTGTGGGGTTCAAGGAGAATAGAAAGAGAGAGAGAGAGAGAGGAGAGAGAGAAAGCCACGTGCACTGATATACAGCAGGTGGAGCCGCCGTCGTTGTCTCCGATGAGGGCTTGAACGCGGTACGTGATGATTTTTTTAGCCCTCAAAAACCCAAATTAGGGTTTCTCACCAAAATGCATGCGCCTTTTTGCACCTTTTCGTGTTAGCCCTCCGCCTCGCCTCTCATATCAACCGCTGGCTGGTGTTTAAGATTGAAAATTGATAATTGAAAATTGAATTTGAGTTTGTTGAATTTAATTACGATTTGAAATGACATGTTAATTCATTTCTCCTGCACATCAATTTTTAAATTTTTTTTTCTGATCCTGGAAGATTGAATTTTAATATCGTATGATCAGCCCTTAGACAATTTATTTATAGTTTAAATGATAAGTCTTGCTATCGGCCTTGTATCCTCATAGAATGGTTCATTTAAAAAAATGGAGATTGATTGAAAAAATTGAAGACTGCATCAAAAAAATTGCTTGAGATATTCAGTTATGTTTACTTAGTTGAGAGTGACAAAGACTTTACATGGTTCTTTTGCAGCTTAAATAGTATGTTAGTCCACGTGTTCGATAAGTTAGCTATCGGACATTTATCTGCCCTTTATTTACCCTCCCTGCTGGTCTTTACACTTGCAACTGGTAGTTGGTATACGACAAGAGTTTCTTAAAATTTTCCTAGGGTTAGAATAAGCTCTTGCCTTCCACGTGTTGGCGATAATTCACGTCACTTCTGCTTTTATTGTGATCTGTCCATGGAAAGAAATTGATAATCGAAAAGATTTCCAATTCGATTGGTCAATCCGATATATTTTCGGACACGTGGAGCTCCACCCCTTTCCTTAATTAGTTTGTGGATTCGGTACATAATTTATGGGGGCATTGTAAATTATGCAAGTTTGTGGCAAATGCGGACTGTTTAGAAAAGGCGTATTAGTTTCCAATACTGTATGTTTCCTACTCGTGTATCTAATAGTTCAGAATGCTTGGAAGCTGCAGTGATCGTAAACTCTTTTGGAAACTTATTTATTTATTTCAAAACTTAACATAAGTTCATTTTTGACTAATTATCTTATCAATAATTGCAAATTTGTTGGAAATGCGTATGAGTTTCTAATCCATTGAAAGAAACCTAAGGTTCGTTTCTAATATCATGAATTTTTTTACCCTTCTATTAAATGATATCAGTTTGGCATGAAAATATTATTTTCTGTTTCTTATTTGAAAGTAAGTTGTATGATGATTGAAGTTCTATTGTAAATAAAGGTTCCAAGTGAAGTATGATGATGGTAATGAGAACTGAACAAGAGCATACTGAGACTGAAGGCAGTAAGACAAAGAAGAAGAAGAGACAAGATGGAACATCTCGCCCGGCGTGCTCTTGGGTGCATTTTAGGTATCACTACATTTAATTAATCTGAAGTAGGATTTCAACATATTTCCATATGCACACTTATTTACATACATACTAACGATTTTAAGGATTTTGTTTTAGCCGTGAATTTATCAAGGAGTACACTGCTACCCATCCCGAATCTTCAGGCTTGAAAGTGGTAAGGATGTCTATTTTGTCTTAACAGTACTAATGTTAATTGTCTAAGAATCATGGTTGAATAAATCCTAACAACCTGTCTTTGTTTCAGGCCACAAAAGCTGCCTCAGATGCATGGAAATTAATGACTCCAGAAGAAAAGGCAAAATACACTAATCGAGCTCGTGAAGTATGGGATAAGTACTTGAGCACTACACCAGCTCGTACTCCCAAGCCAAGAAGACAGGTATTTTCTTCTTGTAGCTTATCCACCATTTTTGCACACTTATACATACTTATACACGATATTTTGCAGACCAAACTTGTTACAAGGTGCTCACCTGGCCGATTATTAAATGTGTTGCAAAGACTAACTCCTGACCAAAGGGATGCTGTAAAGAGCATGGGATTTGGTAGTATCCTTAATCTCAAATGCCGCACTCTTCGCCGCAGTTTGTGCCTCTGGTTATTGGAGAAGTTCAATACCGTTAGGCGAAGCTTAGAGATTTGTGGCGAGCGCATACCTTTAACTGCTCGAGATGTTGAACTGGTGATGGGATTGTCATCGAGTGGGAAAGATGTGGTTAACTCTGGACCGGATGAGTTAATTGCTGAGTTACGCAAAAATTACAACGCAACGAATCGTGGGATTTCTGTGCGGTTATTGGAGGAGAGGTTAGCAGTACCAGAAGCTGGAGAAGATTTTCAAAGATCCTTTCTCCTTTATGTGTTGGGCACTCTTCTGTGCCCCACAGCAAGACTGGATGTTAGCCCATCGTTTCTCCATTTCTTGACGAACATGGAAGTTGTCCACCAATATAACTGGGGGAAGTTTTTACTTGACCGGCTAGTTCGAGAGGTAGCCCGTTATCGTCAAGGAAAGCAACGTGCAGTTGGTGGTTGTCTTTTGTTTCTACAGGTGAGGCTTAATGCTCTCTCTCTCTCTCTCTCTCTCTCTCTCTCTCTCTCTCTCTCTCTCTCTCTCTCTCTCTCTCTCTCTCTCTCAAACTGTTTGTTATTCTGCTTAATTTGACATTTATTTTGTCCTGAAGCTCTTTTACTACGAGAGTGTTGCTGTTGGAGAACCCTCTGAACTATCGCCTGCTATTTTTCCATGCCTAGCCTCTTGGGGTGAAGAAGAAATTAGCGAGAGAGAAAAGCAAGAGAGAGAGCTTGGAGGCTATGGATGCGGAGAGGTATTTTTTGCATATTATAGTTTGTTAGTTTGGCCAGTATTGTAGTAATGCTAATCAGTTTCAAGTGTTTCCCTGTAGGTGGTTTGCAAAGAAAGAGGCTTAGGGATGGGAACGCTGGCTTTTAGAAATCAGCCAGACAGCATTCATTCGGCATTAATGCAACCAGAGCTTGAAAATTATGCTCTACTTGAGCAAGGGTATCAGGTATATTACTTATGTACTTATAAATTATTTGTTCCATGATTATTCGTAATTATTTGAAAATTAATTTATGTGCTTGTGGTTGATCTCTAAAACTATAACAAAAATATTAGTAAATTGCCACCGAAGTGAGTCTGCCTGTTTCTGATTATGCACAAAGACCTAGCATTTTTTACACTAGTCATTATTGTATTAGGCGCTAGCCCGAGCAAATTTACGCCCAAATATGGTATTAGCGTTTGGGTTCTGTTCTTTTTAAAAAAAATTTACGCCCAAATATATATCATTGTCGCATTTGGGTTCTGTTCTTTTTAAAAAAAAATTAAAGCGTTATTAGCGTCTTTAAATATGGTATCAGATTCCTGATTTACCTTAATTGACTAATATATAATTGATGGGTAAAGTGTAAAATAAATTAATAGCACTGGGAAAAAAATCTAGAGGCTTAGACCTAATAAATAACACTGAAAAGAAAATCTAGGTTTCTTCGTTGAGGCTCACGGCGGCGCCTCTTCACTCAGGTGCGTCTGAGAATTAACTACTTGATCCCGTAAGAATTAAGATTTCAAGGTTGCACTTGATTTTGGTTGTATTTCCCTTTTTTTTGTTCTGACTTGTAAGTTATATTGCTAGTCATTTACTTATATATGTTCTTTCTACTATTATCCATGACTGTATTTCCACAATGATTTGAACATGGTCAGCAGCATAAGAAGCTTTTGGGGTGTAATCTTGTAATGATGGTTTTCTAGATTCGTAATGGTTTCATTTAGTGGTGGAAAATGTAACGGAATTTCCGATTTTTGCCGATTCAGATCCAAAATTTTCCGATTCGGAAACAAGTGTCTTCTTTCCGAATTCTGAATATCCAGATCTCTGGCTTTTCTGATTTTCTTGGATCGGAATTGGTAAATATATATGAGATTCCGATTTCCCATCTGATTTTAATTCCGAGAATTCTGTTTTTTTCATGAAAATGACACTTACAATATCAATATGATTATGGATTTTATATTTTAGGTGACTAATAAGTTGGAATTTTCCAAATTCCACCAATTCCGATCCTAAAATTTCTGATTTTGGAACATGTTTTTTCATCTCAATTCCGATTTCCAATTCTCTGTCTTTTTTTTTTGAAAAACTAGGCATTTTTCCCGAAAGTTCTAATTCCGATCATATCCGTTCGATTTCCGCTCCTAGTTTCATCTGTTGGAAATTGCTATTGTGTCCTGCTTTGGCCGAATGGCAATGTATTATGTAGACCTAAGATTGCGGTGTTATAAATGGCAAAAAATTCTGCCTTTCCTTTATTCTCATTGCATTATGTTTCCCATCATATTATATCGGACACCACTCGTCTTACTCCAGATCTCTCACCTGAACTTGTATGGTTCTCATTATATCCTCTAAAGTGGGCAACTACTTTTCAATTATTTCACTATGCAGATAGTGAATTTTCTCGGACTTCCTTTTTTTTTGTTGCAAATAAACCATTACATCTTGTTGACTTGTGAAATCCATTCATCATTTACTTGATCCAATAGCACTCCTGATTTATTTCTGTTTTTGACCTGCTGATAATATTACATGACAGGTTGTCGGGGAAGATCAACTCAACGGAGGCATGTTTACGGCAGAGGTAACCGATGATTCCAATTTATAGATAATTTTCTATATTTAATGTAAAACTTTGTGCGATTTAGGCAAAATAGATAAGCTAATCTATTTCTCCATGAAACACTATAGTCATCAGCTAGCTAGTGAAACTTTTGACAGTGTGCATTTTATCTTATTTTACACGAAAGTTGATTATTGGCTATATGATTGTTCAGGAGAATATTCCGATGAGTGGCAACGAGGGCAACAATGCCGTCTGTGTGGACATCGAAATAGCAGACCCCGTTCGAGCACCATGCAGAAACGCGCAGTACGGCTGTGAAGAAATCGTCGACTACACCAAAAGAAAAGAGCACGAAAGTCTCTGCATTTCTTCGCCATGTGCTTGCCCGCTCCAAAAGTGCCACTTCATCGGCTCATCCGCACAGCTGTCGGAGCATTTCAGCGGCAAGCATTGGGATTCGGGCAGGCGTTTTCAGTACAACAGCCCTTTAGCCATAACCTTAAACAAGAACGAAGCCTTTTTAGTACTACAGTCCGAAAAAGACGGTGCACTCTTTCTCCTCAGTAAAGGAACAGAGAGCATCGGCTACACTGTGATGATAACCTGCATAAACCCTAGCTCTTCGAGCGAACAGTACTTGTACGACGTCGTGTCTGAAAGAGGGAACACATGTCTGAGATTGAAGTCGTACACTAATAATTACCCGGGTAGGGTCGAAGGCTCCCCGCCCGTGGATTTCCTCCTTGTTCCGTTTGATTTTGTGGGGCCCACTGGCAAGCTGGATTTGGAGATGTGTATATGGAACTCGACTGATATAGGCGCTGATTGAAGTTTTTGATTGGCTTAATAAAGGTTGCTCACTCTCTCTCTCTCTCTCTAAATTGTTCGTGAAAGGTGTACTTATCGGATTTCGGGAAAGGGTTTTTTTGTTCTTCGTTTTTTCTAAATCATATATATGTCTGTTTGTTGTACATTTAGTCAGGTAGGTGTACAATAGAGGCTGGCTGGCTGACTCAAGAAGAGGATTGTTCCTTTTTCTTGTTTTACTTCTTTTTTTATTTATTTATGAATTACAAAGGTTACAAATCTTCTTTGACTTGTGCCGTTTTAAGTTATGTTTTGGGGGATACATTTTGTAGATGTGGTTACTTTTGCAGCTATAAGAGTAATACATACTTTCTATTGAATGCTTTGAGTTTGAGTTTATTTTATGCCTACAAAGGGTAGATTATTACCATTCATTCCTAGAAAAACACATACACACATGCTGGTGTGTGTAGATGAACGGTAAAGATCTATCAGTTGTAGATTCAAATATCACCCTAGATTTAAATAGATGCGCACGGTTTGGCATAATAAGATGGTGCAACAAAACCCCTGGCCGTTGTGATTGTTTTTTTTTTTTTTTATTGTTTTTTTTTTATGAAGGTGGATCAAGTCGATTGTCTTTTACTCGTCAAAAAAAAAGTTGATTGTCTTTTTAATAATTTAGTAGTTAGGATGGCTTTCTTGTATCAATCCTATTAGAGTGTGTTTGATTATTGAGCTTCTTATATGATCGTTAAAAAAATTTGATGCTTAAGAGTTTAGAATGTTACCTTCAAATATTTGAAAAAAAATTAGGATATGAGTTTATAAATATTATGAAATAAGATGTTAAATTGTGAAGTTTCTTTTAAAAGAAGAGAGAAGATCCAACTTATTTCAAAATATATGAAGTTTAATCAAATTATTTATAAATATTATTGCCGTAAACCTATGTAGCACATGCACGGAAATGGTGATACGCGGAAACGGGAAAACGGACACGGGAATCGGCATATCCCAAAAATGGGGATATGTGAACTTGGGAAAAACATATGAATATTAAAACTATAAGGGTATATTATAAATTTTAATTTAGTATTACATAAGCTCCAATGGTATATTTACAAATATATGAACTCATAAACTATTTACTATTTAGGGGAAACTACAGTTTGCACCCCTGAACTATAGAGGTTGTACCAAATACCACTGGACTACGAAACGTACCAGAATGACCCTTCCATTTACAAACTGTTAGTGAATGATGATGTGCCACGTTGACTTTCTCATTTTTTATCTTTTTTTATTATTGTTGCACTTATTCTGACTTTTTTAGCCCTCAATTTATTTTTATTTTTATTTTCTAATAAAAAAAGAGAAAAAAAAATGTAGATTGAATAAATTATAGGTTTAAAATCAAGCCTCAATTCCTGAAAATTAATCGGAGGAAGCAAACAACCGACCACCGTCAACGAACCACCACTAGAAGCGGCGGCGGAACCAAGAAGAAATTAAGTTAAGAAAAATGGGAACAACCCTTTTACCCACAAGCCTCTCCCACCACCCACCACCATCAACAAACCACCACCGGAAGCGGCGGCGGAACCAAAAACAACGGAGGAGGTAGAATCCCACTTCATGGCAGCACTCAATCATTATTACCGGCCGAAGACAAAATCGAGAGCCCATTTGACTCCATCACTGATTACATTGAAGAAACTGAAATGCTATTCATAGTGCAACTTTTACCGCCTTGCAGTGCGATTTATTTCATTTGTAACTTAAAAAAAAAAAACAAATTTGCCCGATATTTCGTGTATTATTACACGAAATTCACTCAATAATTTCGTGTATTTTTACGCGAAATATAAGTGTTTATTGTTATAGAACACGAAAGACGAAACTGTTGGATTGAAAAAATTCGCCTATTTCGTGACAAAACCCACAAAATTGTACATCATATTTCGTGGAGTTTTCCACGAAATTGTACCTTACAATTCGTCGATTTTTCCACGAAATATAATGTAATGTTTCATGAAATTCAGTACGAAATCACTAATTGATTTGTTTTTTAATTAACCAATTTATTTCACACACTCAAATTGACCTAAAAATTCAAATACAAATACAAATTGAACTAGAATTCAAATACAACTACAAATTGATCTAAATTTCAAATACAAATACAAATTCAACTAGATTTCAGATACAACTACAAATTGATCTAAAATTCAAATACAAATACAAATTGAACTAGAATTCAAATACAACTACAAATTGAACTACCAACCAGACTTTAATTGTTACAAATTGATCTAAATTTCAAATACAAATACAAATTCAACTAGATTTCAGATACACCTACAAATTGATCTAAAATTCAAATACAAATACAAATTGAACTAGAATTCAAATACAACTACAAATTGAACTACCGACCAGACTTTAATTGTTCGTACAAGAGTAGTCGGGGTTTGTACATTTTGAGTAAGTGCCTCAGGTTTTTAGCTCAATGGTGTACCCATGTCGGATGGATTGGTGGTAGAGGACTGACTATTCGCGACCAAATTAACAAACATGAAATGATTGTTGTGCAATGTCACTACAATCATACATGATAAGTGACCACTGCCAAACATAGGAAGGTAAGTCATACTCCCTACTTGAGTCAAAAGTACCACTAATGCACTGTATCTGGTAGCAATGACCAATCCCATTTCATTCATGTCCATCCAATAAGCTTGTGGACAAGGCCCTGAGGTCCAGTCACACTTGCGTATGACCTCAACGTACCCGGTAATGCCAAACATCGTCGTGTACACATTAGCATGCTCGTATAACTCAATAAGCAACTCCCCTCTCACTTGCGGCCATCTTTCTTGATCCCCGTACATGGCTTGAGCAATGCACCGGTACCCACAGTTGCCATCCGCCATCACGTTAACACAATCTTGAATAAGACGGACCATAAATCTGGGCACGTAAGAATAAAAGTTGATTCCTTCATGTGCAGGTATTGTAGGGGCAGCAGATTCTTGTGTGGGAATACGAGAACCACGACCTTTCATCTTCGATTGAGGCGTTCAATCAGTGCTTCTCTCAACCTTTGCTTTATGAATCTTTGCACCAGATGAGGTTTGGCGACCCTTGGAACCACAAGACGACTTAATTGTCTGCTCATCAATATAATACTGCCATCCGGAAGGGTCTCTCTTTGTCGAGTTATTCTTAGGTCGTCCTTTGGTCTTAACAAATGATGGCTCGGACAGATGCGACGTAGACGGATAAACGATGCCCCGCAATGAGGCCACGACATTTATCTTACTTGTGTAATTCATCTTCTTCAAATTGCAATTTAGGTCATCAATCTGTCTATCCACAATCTCCTCGCGGTTTACTTGATACTCAGGTAACTCCGAAGGCTCAACTGCCATGGTACTCCAGAATGGATGCAAGTCTGAAATGACGAACGTGTCATTATCTTCCATATTCTGCACAATTTTGCACGCGCATGGGAGCCCATGAGTATTCCAAAGATAGTGTGTGCAAATACTCGGATTTTGCATCGCCGGGGACTCCATCTCTTGATCCAATTTCTCAAATGCCAGATGCGTAACATAACAAATCAAACCATGAAAACACGGCCATGCTGCAGTATGCTTCCTTATCTTGGATGATAATGAAAAATCGCACTTCAGATGACTAATTTGGATATAAACTTGGTCCCGAAGTTTGCCTTGCACGTTATCCAGATCTCCGGTCGAAGCATTTAACCAACCCTTCGCTGAAGAATGAGAACTCTCCACCCTATCCAATTACAACAACAATCAAAGCATACATCGACAATTAAATTACAAAATAAATATTATTTTTATATAATATATTTTATCATTTAAATAACTAAAACATGTAATACCTGTTGGTGCTCGTGTTGCCAAAATGATACACATTGCGAGTATAGGCTCGAACAAACTTCTCCATGTATATCAACCACGTATCATTCAAATATTGTATCAGTCTAGGATACCCTGCATACCGTCCAACAATTTCATTGTAATTGTAATGATACTCTTCTTCGGTTTCTGATTTCACCAGCTTAGCCCACAGTCCACGTCGAAATATTAGACCTTGGTCTTTGTTGCCTCCCATAAATTTCGTCGAATTTGCCTCAACATTTCTGTTTATATGGAATATACACAACATATGATACGAAAATGGGAAGACATTTGGCAGTGCTTTCAAAAGACCCAACTCCCTGTCTGTCAAGATCGCATCAGGTTCGACACCATCTAGCAACTCTTTCAAACAATTCAAAGTCCACTCGTAGGTGTCTGCATCTTCATGCGACATAAATGTAACATCAATTGTAAAATTCCTCCCAACTGGAGTTATCCCAATTATTTCCAAAAGAGGCATAAATGTAACAACAATGTTGTTTTTACATATTTAAACAATACAATACATTAAAACACAATAATCATAATTTAAACAATCGTATTTTTTACTTACTTATTGATTTTGTATGTGCAGTCCATCAATATAACATATGGGGACAGCCGTAGTAACTTAATAGATTCGGGACATGCAAACATAATATTTGTAATCGTGTTGCTCGTTTCACTTCGACGCGATGCCAATATCGATATTCGCCTTGTTGAAAGTTATGCATTATAAACTGAATAACAGTCATGCCCTCCATTTCCTCAAATTTAATCTTGGCCAACTCATTGTAAACATACTTCATAGAGGTTTGTATCGTCCGATCATCTTTCCTCAATCTATCCATGATTAGCATTGGCGTCACGTGAGAATTTCGCAATTCTTTAATTCTTGCTTTCTGTTGTGGAGTTATACGACTAGTCGTACCTTGTCCGTGAGGAAACAAAGCCGGACGATGAGTATGCCTACCATCGCTGACAGTCAACCGCCATAATTCATCAAACCTTAACTTTTTGCCAATCAATTTGAACAGACAACCACATTTTTTTGTTCCAGTGTTTCTATGATCTTCCACATCGATATTCGTTTGTCGGCCATGTCCGTATTTGTCACACGTCAAGTACTATGCATTCTCCCTTCTAGACTGACAAATCAAACGGTGACAATGATTAACTGCAGTTGCTTTGGCCACTTGATTAATTCTTCCCTACTATCGAACACAATATCAACTTGGAAGAAGTGAGAGAAATCTTCATATTCATTTTGATCCAAAACCGAGGGATCAAAATACAAATTGTCTTCATATGGCTGCGTAAATAAAAAAAAAAGTTAGATACTTGTACAAAAAAAAAAAAAATGCTAGGTGTTTCGTGTAAAAGTACACGAAATTAATGTATACATTTCGTATAGTAATGCACGAAATGAATAACAAAACAGTTTACTGCTGTTTCGCGTGATTTTACACGAAATAAGAGGTATAGTTTCGTAGTATTGTATACGAAATGACTGGAAAACACGAATATGGTGTTAATTTCGTGCAAAATACCACGAAACGACTTGAATAATTTTGTGGGTATTCTACACGAAACGACTGAAAATCGAAAAATATCACACTAAAACGTAATTTTTTACCTCATTTACGGGATCGATGTTGGCCATCTTGATAATCGTTGGGTTTTAACTTATTTCTACGAAAACAAATCACGATCTACAAAAGTCGAAATATTTGGAGGTTAAGAGGATTTTGTAAAAGGTTAAAGTATTTTTTGACAAATGAATTATTTCGCACTGTAGCTGGAAAAAACCGCACTATGAATAGTAAACCCCTTGAAGAAATCCCCATAATTGAACCTCATACAAAATTATACTCCTCTCCGATGAAATTCTTCAACCCCGTCCCCTCACCATCTTCTTCTTCCTCAATTTATTGACACGGTGGCGACGTGTGCTTTTCAAACGCGACCAGATTTTGCATTTTTTTACGGCTTTTAAGGATTATTAGCCTAGGGGACCATGATTTCGTGAGCAATACTTGCAATTTAAAGGAAAGGTTCGAGAAGAACGAAAAGATGAGAGATCCCCTCTTAAAGAAAATGGCGAGAAGATGAAGAAGAGAGAATAGAGAGAAAGAAAGAGTGGGGAAGACCAAAATTAGGGGCAAACAAGTAAATGCACATTTAAACGATGGTGTTAGTATTTTTAAGGGCTAAATACAATTTGCACCGCTGTACTATCACCACTGTCGCATTTATCCTACTGTACTATGAAATGCGACAAAACACCCCCTGCCGTTCATCTCCGTTATAAAATCTGTCCCTTTCAAATGTTGACTGACTATTGAAGTAGCCGTTGGAAAAATTCTGACCAAAACACCCCTCTAATTGTGTAAAAAAGGGGTGCATCACTCTTCACTCATTTGTACTCAATTCCTTTCCAATTTCTTCCTAATTTTCATTTTCACCCCAAATTTCTGAAAAAATTAATTTTTTTTTAAATTCATAATTAATCGCTTTAAAAATGTCTTCCGGTAGTTCAAATTTTCAAAATTCGTGTTTTAGGTCCAAACACTACATGTCAAAATATGACATTAAATCGGGATCAATATTCGGCACATCTGAAACCAGTCCCCCAACATATTCAAAATAACTTTCAACCCTCCTTCCATGATTAATTCTAAAGGTAAAAAACGTATATGGCATTTTAACCTGTATAAAAACATGAAAAATAGGTGAATTACAATAGCTAAAATCCCCAAAAAATTCCAAAAAAATTGAAAACCCCAAAACCCAAAAATCCCCAAATTCTACTGAGTATCGAAACTATCTCTTCAAAACCCTTTTCAAATAGATTCCCAAAACTGAATTTCAAAAAAATTCCAAAACCCCCAAAATCCTTCACTCGTAAACCCCAAAATTCACAAATCCAAAAAACATAACTTTAAATACAAAATAGAGCTTGTATTGTAAATACTAATCCAAAACCGTAAATTTTCTATTGATAATTCTTTGAAAGTAGGGTTGTAACCTTATTCTTGAAGATCTAAACCCAAATTTCGCGTGGGATAAAATCCCCCCAAAAAATTCGAACCCTAAATTAAGCGAAAATTTCAGAACTTATCTTTGTTTACACCCTCTTCAAATTTCTTCAAAGACGTCTATGATGTGTTGAATCGCAGGGAAGAAGATGAATGACAGGGGAAGAGGGGAAAGTTTCTTCCAATGTGTTTTGCTGAACGTGTTTAATATTTTTTCCCCAAATTGCAAAGTCTAAAAATGGCTACTTCTATCAAATAAAATGAAGGGAAAAAATATAATTACACAACAGAAACTAACATCGTTAAATATGTGAGAGTTGACTGTTAAGGTGAGGGGGTGTTTTGTCGCATTTCATAGTATAGGGTAAATGTGACACTGATGATAGTACAGGGGTGCAAACTGTATTTAGCCTTATTTTTAAGGTTGACCACAAATAACAGGGGTTATTTTGGTACGTTTAATAGTTCTATAATTCAGGGGTGCAAACTGTACTTTCCCCTACTATTTACTATCAATCCGGGTCGAAGCGGGTACGCTCAGCCGCGTGGGTGCCCATTGCCATTCTTAAACAAATTATGTGCCCAAATTAGAAATGAATTCTTTTTTTATTTATCTTTTATTATATTTATTAGGTCAAATTCCACTTTTCGTACTTTAGTTCGGTATCACTTTATCCGTTTCTACTCTTGATTGCATCGATTTGCCCCATGCACTTGAAAATTGTCACAATGTGCACTCACTGTTAGTAATCAAACATTTGATCTTAACACCGTTTGATCTAAGCTCTGAAATTACAAAAACGCCATCCCTCCAAATTTAAATAATTATTAAAAAAAATAAAAAAATAAACAAAATAAAAAATAAAAAAATTCAAAACAAAGAGAAAACATAGTGACGACAACCAATTTTTTTTTTTTTTTTTTCTGATAATTATTTAAATTGGGAGTAATATTTTTGTAATTTCCAGACATTAGACCAAACGGTGTTGATGTGAAAAGCCTGAAAACTAATGGCGAGGGTCACATTGACACAATTTTTCAAGTGCAGGGGTAAACCGGTGCAATTAAGAGTAGAATGGTGTAAAGTGATATCGAGCCAAAGTACAAGGGTGGAAAATATAATTTACCCTATTTTGTATTATCATTTTGAGTACCAAAAGTTCAATTAAAAATTGAAATCTTAAAGGGATGCTATCGTCTTCACAGATTCTCCGGCGGTTCTGCTGCTCCAGCACCGCCGCCGGTTCTTCTCCATCATCATCGCTTGCCACTGCCCAGAAGAAACGTCTCGTTTTCCTGGGTTCCCCTCAGGTCAGTCAAACACACACATCTCTCTCTCTCTCTCTCTCTCTCTCTCTCTCTCTCTCTCTCTCTCTCACCGATGATAATTGGTGGGTTAACTTCATCTCAGGTTTCCGCTTCTGTTCTTGATTCCCTCTTCAGTGCATCTTCTGCCCCAGATTCTTTATTTGAGGTACCTTAATTTTTCTGATTTCATTTTTTATTTTTTATTTTTTTTTATATCTGATGATTCATATAGAAGATTATCATATCAAAGTAGTTCAATCAATTTCCAGCCAATGATCTTATCACATTGTATTCTATGTTCTTCACACACCTCTAAGTTTCGAATGAAGCCGAGAAACGTAATTCTAATTTATCGAGGCATTAATTAGTAGATGAAGTTTAAATTCCAATGTAATATGTCAATTATGATGCAAAATGTTTCAAACATCGGAAAAGAAGAAAAAAAACTCGTGCAGGCATCGTTTGTTTTAACACAAAACTGTTTCGGTAAACTTTCTTGAAAGTCTTGTTTGTTTGCCGGCGGCATATATTCATACTCCAATGCTTTTCGATTTTGATTGTTTCTATCTGTCGTCTTCGAAGGTGTAGCACAATTACTTGAACTTACTATGATTTTAAGTGTAACGAGAAATTATAGATAGAAAGAAGAAAGCATGGGTATAATCATGTAGTTCGTTCGATCAACTGTTCAATTTCTCGCTTCGATCGAATATTACAATGACCACCTACTTATATAAATAAGTGAAGAAATAATAAAAAAAGGAAATCAGTCAAATTTTGATTAAAGAACAAATTTTTATTTAGTCCCAATTCTTGAATGAACATATATAAATACATGTCTATGTATATGTATATATTCGAACAATGTTAACAGTAAGTAAAATATTAAATGTATTAAAAACATTTTAATACGGTTCAGATTGCAGCAATTGTGACACAGCCACCGTCGGGAAGAGACAGGGGTAGAAAGGTGTTGCCTTCTCCCGTTGCACAACGTGCTCTCGATTATGGCTTTCCTTCTAATTTGATCTTCACTCCACTCAAAGCCGGTGAGGTAATTAACTACAAATAACCATTAATTAGTCTCACATATTTCAGAATCTCGATACTCGTATATTTCTTTCGGTGAAAAATATTATGATTTGCAGGAATCATTTATTTCATGCTTTCAAGCGCTGGAGCCCGAACTTTGCGTCACTGCTGCATATGGAAATATTTTACCGACGAAATTCCTCAAGATTCCATCCATGGGTTAGTCTTTAAATATGTTGCCATAAAATGATAATATATTTATAAACGAAACGAGAAAAAAATGATGTAAAGTGCAATCTTGTAGGGACAGTGAACATACATCCTAGTTTGCTTCCACTTTATCGAGGGGCAGCCCCCGTTCAGAGAGCTCTGCAGGTTCGTATTCTCTTTCGCTTGTTTCCCTTTAAATTTTCTTTTTTTTTTTTTTAACTTGGTGGGAAAATGCATTTCTTGTACAGGATGGTGTAAGAGAAACGGGAGTTTCGTTAGCGTTTACCGTTCGCCAACTGGATGCGGGCCCCGTTATTGCTTGTGAGAAAGTGGAGATTGATGATCAAATAAAGGTATTTACGACATGCATTTAAGTTGCTATGTTAGCTTAAATACGCAGTTCTGTGACAAAGCTTTGCGTTTTATCTTATTGCAGGCACCGGATTTACTTCAGTTGCTATTCGGTCAAGGTCTGTTTTTTATGTGTGTGTGTGTCTATATATATATATATATATATATATATATATATATATTTGATGGTTTGTTACAAAATGCAGGAACGAAACTTCTGATCAGTGAGCTCCCGTCAATATTTGATGGTTCTGCGAAATCTAAAGCGCTTCCCCAAGACGAATCTAGAACTACGCTAGCTCCAAAAGTAAGCCGACATTTAATATTTTTACCAGAAAAAAAATGGTTTGAAATGAATGTCGTCCGATAATAAAATAATTAATGAAATTACAAGAAAGAAGAAGAAAAAAAGAAGAAGGAAACTTTGAATCACCCGGTTTTGTTTCTTGATCCAGATAGCTCCAGAGGAATCGTGGCTGTCGTTCGATCAAAAAGCTGTAGTACTTCACAACAAAGTAAATAAAAGCCTTTCAATTTATCCTCGATTTTGTTCTTTACAATATATGTATGTTCCTTACGTGCGACTCTTTTCAGGTTCGTGCATTTGCAGGTTGGCCCGGAACCCGAGCAAAAGTTTCGGTTCTTGATCCAGAAAGTGGGGGCGACAGTAATACAGTAGAACTCAAAATCATCACAACAAGAGTTTACGAGAGTAGTGAAATTCCGAGTGGCGAAGCGGATGATGTGTTCTTTAGAAAAGGCTCGTTGATATTCCCATGTGGTGGCGGTACAGCATTAGAGGTGATCTTTTCATCTTTTATTTTTTTAAAATAAATAGTTCGAGCGTAGTTGACGTTTTTTTTTTTTTTATTAATTTCTTTTTTTAATGACAAATGAATCATATTTTTATAGGTGTTGGAGCTTCAGCTTCCGGGTAAGAAAGTTGTAAACGCGGCCTCGTTTTGGAACGGATTGAGAGGGCAAAAGCTTAAGAAGTTGTGAATCGCTTTATCGATCAATTCGTTTTGCAATACTAGGTAATAAATGACCTTATTACCCACCCTTGTCATCTCTTAATTGTGTCTATTTATTTATTGTTACTGTAGATTAGCAGTTAATTAGTTGGTTAGATTGAGTAATTTGAAGGTGTGTTAACAGAAATGGATTCAAATTGCTGCTTTATCGGCATTATTGATTATTTGAAATATTTTTTTTAATTTATTTTTCTAGTATGATTCGTGGGCTAAAATGGAATTTTGCGCCGAATCCAAATTATCGATCAATTAATTACGTGAAGATTGAAGTATTGTATATCCCTTTTAGTCCTTTCCGTTAGTACTAACGGAACCAAGGATGTGTCTATCACCGCCTTAACTGACAAACTAACTGTAAGTTAACGGAAATAACCAACAATGTTAATTTATCGAAACATGAGGGACCAAATGTGTATTTGTGTGAACATGGGGGACCAAATGTGTATTCGTGTGAACTTAGGGACCAGTGCAAACTTGAAGGGTGAAGACTGTAATTTCCCCAAAATTTTCATACCGAACCTCATTAATTAAAGACTTTTTTTTTTTTTTTTTGATAAGCATTAATTAAAGACTTGATTAACTAATAATCTTGCTTATATTTGATTTTTAATCAACTCGATTAACTAATAATCTTGCTTAAATTTCATATTTTTTCGAATGAAATAAAACAAAGGCCAAATTACGGCCACCTCCTGAGGTATGGCCAAATTACAAAAAAACCCCTCTTGTTTGGGTAATTATAGTCACTCTCTTCCTTTTAAATATTTTTACATAAATCCGTTATGTAATTATGTTATATACCGAACCAAATCGTATATTTAGTTTGGTAAACGGTATGAAATGTTGGCGTACCGAAATTTCGGTTCGGTTTTACCGATCTAACATCCCTAAATTTACCTCTGGAGGAGTATTTTCTTAAGATAATACATAATAAGGGTGGTTGTAATTACCCAAACAGGAAGAGAGTTTTCGTAATTTGATCATAATTTGCCATATAAACAAAACCAAGTTAATTTTTAATGGTATATTGAAGTTAAGAAGTAACAAATTATTTATTTATTTTTTAAAATTTAATACAATGACAATTTTGCCCTTATATTGTTGAAAATATTCTAGTTAGACACAGAATCAAGGAACAGAAGCAATTAACCAATAAACAAGCGAAAAGCAAAGGCACACACATCGAACCAAAACCAAAGTAAACACTAAAACCACTTTATTACAACCTTTTTACCCTCTAATTATCGTATCATAATAAACTAATCACAATTATCCAAAATCATTCTTTACCCACTAATCATGAATTTGCAACGCCATGTACTTCACTTTGTAAGCAATTATTAATCTTCTAATTTAAGATTTCCTCTCTCCATTTTAAAATATAGGCCAAATTACAAGGAGCCCCTGAAGTGAGGCTTATTTATGAAAAAAACCTTTCTTTTGTTTGCATAATTACGAGCACCCTTTTGAATTAACGGGCTGCAAAAAACCTTATCAGAAACCCTTATGACAAAAAAAAAAAAAAAAAAGGATCACAAATTCAATCTTTTGATTTTCTTACATTTGGCCCCATATGCAATATGAAGCCTTAAACATAAATCCTTATGAAGCAAAAAAAAGTTAGTTAACAGTAAAAAAAAAGTTTAAGAATAGCTTTTTTTTTTAAATAAATTATAAAAAAGATTAGAATTGTTTTTCAAACATTACAATTAGAGCCCTAAGGATATTCTGCTAATTACAAAATGGATATTACTTGGAATCTATTTAAAATTCCATTATTATTAACTCACATAACTGAGGGTAAATTCGTTAGACGAAAAGTAATTAAGCCTTGCCTCAGGGAATCCTTGTAATTTGATAATTCCAATGAGCATTTATTGTATTTTTTTCTTAATTTCGCCCTTACTCTTCTTAAGACAATTGATAGGAAAACAATTAATGAGAGGGTTACTTTAGTTATTTTATGATGATTTTTCTAAAATCGGGTATATTTATTAGTTCTCTTAATACGTATACATCAGCCCAAAATGATAAATAAAATGGAAAGGAGGAAGTAGGTATTATTTAGTAACAATTCTTTATACATCAAAAAGATAATTAGCTTTTCTATTGAGGCCCTCAAAATAGTAGTATAAATACCAAGAACCCCTTCTTCTTTGCTCTCTGCGTGAAATCAAGAGCAGATAAATATATAAAAATAAGAATTATAAAAAATAAATAAATGGGTGCTCTTGACTATCTATCAAACTTCTGCACTGTCACAAGCCCTAGAAGCAAAAGGAAATCAATGCAGGTAAAACATATCAGCCATGCACATACATACATTGCTTGTAAAACACACAGAAAACATGTGTGTTTGTGTGTGAAATGTGGTTGTATATATATAGGGTTTTCTATTTTATTTTTTTTATATCGTACGATCGAGATTTTGATCATCGATCTTTATTCGTTTCTAATTTGTCAGACAGTTGAGATCAAAGTGAAAATGGACTGTGATGGATGTGAGAGAAGAGTCAAGAATGCTGTTAAAAACATCAAAGGTTCATTATATATTATATTTATTAATATAATATTAATTACCTCTTTTTTTATTTATTTACTTATTTCTACATGCACAAATATTAACTATAAATAAGCAATATTCTATCTTTTATTTATTTATTATTATAAAAAAAAGAAAATCATGAGGGCTGTTTGGCTTAATAACTTCTTTCAGGAGTGAAAACCGTGGAAGTTAACAGAAAGCTAAGCCGAGTAACTGTGAATGGATACGTCGATCCAAACAAGGTCTTAAAGAGAGTGAATAACACAGGAAAAAGAGCTGAATTCTGGCCTTATATTCCACACAATTTAGTTCAATTTCCACATTTATCTCAAGTCTACGACAAAAAGGCTCCGTCTGGTTACGTAAAAAACGTGCAGGCGTATCCTATTCAAAATGCAACTGAAGAAACAATCACATATCTATTCAGTGAAGATAACCCTCACGCTTGTTCGATTATGTGAACTTATTATAATTTAATCTTTATTATTATTATTGTCTAATTTTGTTCGGTATTTTGCTCCTTATGGATGAGAAAATAATTAGTGTAAGTACTTGAGGCATATCAGATGAATAAATCCATCAGTTTAGTTAACTTTTTTTGCCATAAATTTTGTTTTATAATTTTTCTAAAACTTGTTGTTTACATTTACTTTTGGGTAAATTACAGTCACCCCTAAGGTGGACGTAAAGAAGATTTATAATTGAGGAAAGTAGTTATAATTATTTAAACATGAGGGTATTTTTGTAATTTAACCTTACTTCAGGAGGTAACCATAATTTATTCTTTATTTTTTGAAGCATGTTGACTTCAATTAATTCGTTTTTTGGAACAATGTTTTTTGCAGTGGGTTTACTATTAATAAATTATTCCATTGCACTTTACTACTAAGCTTTTTCTTTTGACTTTATTCTAAAAGATTAGTGATTCATGGAATGAGAAAAGAAAAGGTTGTTACTTTTGTATGTGTTAGCTTAATTGTTACTGCATGTTATTAATTTATGTAGGATAATGACTATAATATTTAATTAGAGGTTAAATATGTATTAAAGAAATAATTAATGGAAATAAAATAAGTACATATAATGCTCAAAATATTATTATTGTAGCTTTATAAACTGCGTCAAAATATTATTATTGAATGAGCAAATTAGATTGGAAGAACATTACTACACATAGATCCGCCACTATTGGTTACTATCTTTTACGATACTATTTTCCAGACAAAATACGATTTTGTAGATGTTACACTTGATAAAATACACTAGACAATTTTGCATCGTAAATCTACACATATAGTCCGCACACAAACATGTGGACGTGCGCAAACACCAGAATGAGTAGCTATCTATACATAACACTTTTATTGTAGGATCCTAGAAAATAAAGATTTGCCAAGTGCAACATCCAACAAACCCAAAAACTCTAACAGGGTGTTTGGCTACGCTTGTAAGATGTTTAATACCTTATAAGTTCTTCCAAAATGTTTGAAAGAAAAGCGCTTATCAGTAATTTAAAATAAGCTGAGCCAAACGGGTTTTAATTCTTATTCAAGTATAATTAGTATGAAGAGGTTCGACGTTGACCTATCCGTTAGCTAAAATTGTGGTCTCAAAACTATTCGAAGTGTAACTCAAATCTTTCCCGAAAAGCAAAGGTAAAAGAGAAGGCAATGGTCAAATCAATAAGGAAAACGAAGGTGAAGCGGAGATTCCGAAAGAAGACTTCTCTTTTAAGTTGCGTTAACAAGAAAAAGATTCTTGTGCTTATACCATCCCGACTATCATATAATAATTTAGATGTGATTAAAGTGATTTTCATTTGCCAAAATAAAGTAAGGATCTATACCCTCATTCAGATTAAGTGGTTTATATAATTAGTAAACTTTTGTGTCATAAGAATATATAATTAGTAACCTTACTATCCCAGAAAATAGTCATTTTGCACCTCACTTTTTCATTAGGTCAATATTAATCTCGTAAAATTCACAATATCGTAAAAAAAACCTAGAAACCATTATTATCATAATGAAATATATAGTGCGGTTATATTTAACCAGAAACGTCATTGGCGGAACTACATATGAGCTCAGGGCTGTGGTCCCCCAAGAAAAAAAAATTAGTAATTGTATTTTTTTTTATTTTTTTTTACATTCTTATGTACGCCTTTTCGAAATAAAATAAAATATTTGATTTATACTTTCTAATTCAAGTTTCGAACATGTTTTATTCTATAAAATAATTTTTTTTACTATCAAGCAGCTAATTATTAAAGTCCATAAACTAAAATAACGTTAAAAAATAGAAGTAACTGTATTTTCTTTTTATTTTTTTATTGTTTAGTGACATTCTTTCAATATCAATTATATTTGATTCTTAAATATATCAAATTTCTATTTATTCCTAAACTTTTATTATTTTAGTAGGCCATGCGTCCATCCACAAACATTTCTTAATTTTTAATTTTAAGAAATTCTAATGATCATATATAATGGAAACACTAATTTTTAACTTACTTTTCTCTAATTAAATTCTACAAATATATACTTATTTCGTCAAAAAAAAAAAAATTGTTTTGTTCTATAACCTAAAAACATCCTCCAAAAAATCGGCGGCGCTGCCCTCCAACCCCTGACCGAAAATCCTCTTAAATTATTGGCCCCCCAACCGGAAATCCCTAATTTCGCCCCCGACTATTGTAAAAGTATGGAACCTTGACCTATCGTCTATAAACCCCCCACAATTCCTTTATTAACTTGACAAAAAGCTGGGCAATTTTTTCCTATTTCAAAAGGTAGTTCAACATTTATTTTAGTTTAGTATTTATGTAGTAAAGTTTGCAATTTTAATGAATCAAATGAAACGAAATACTTTATGTTATTACATGCACAAAACAATAACAATGAAAAACATGACAATTTTTTCATGTATGATAATTAATTAATTAATACATCTAAAAGGAGTAATTTAATTTAATCCATTGCCAGATATACACACAACATATTACACACAGTAAACACATATTGCGTGTGTGGAAACACACACAGTCATGCATAACTGCTTGTTCTGTAGACTAAACTGCATAATAAGTTGGTTGTCTGAAATATTCTACTGCCAGAGTACTAAAGTACTTTAAACAGTTTTCACAGGCAACAAAAGGAAGACTAGAAATCAGTTATTGAGACCACAATTCATTCTTCACATTGGCAAACAAACTGAAAGAGAAGCAATGTGGAAAATGGCTGAGGATGAATATAACAACTTCAAGTTTGTAAAGATTGAGGTTGTTGATATTATATACATATTAATTATTATCTCGAGTTTCTTGATTTTTATTAACATTTATAATAACAAAATGTGTGTTTTGTTATTCGTTCGCAGACGCACATTTTGAAGGTCCGTATTCACTGTCAGGGCTGCATGCACAAAGTGAAGAAACTTCTTCGAAAGATCGAAGGTGTGATTTTTTTCCCACAAATTATGCTTTCTACTAAACTTCAACTCTAAATTCAAAATCAATCTATTATTAGCATAGAATAGTAGTCGCGTTTATTTTGTTTCGAAATATTTCATTCAAATAAGCCGATTTCTCCCCCATACAGAAATGGAAATGTAAGATGCTCCTAAAATGATATTGTATCCATAAACACTTAATAATTAGCCATGATTAACTAAATAATTGGACTTCGTTTGATGTTTGGTAAATCCAATAGCTTCTCGGGTCGACCCGTAAGTATTATGTTATCATGCCTTGTCCTTCTCGTAGGCAGATTTTTTGTTCGACCTTTCGGGGTTCAATAAAATAATAGGATTTTCATATGATTATTTAATCGTATCTTGGTTAGTCCTATTTTGGCAACCAAACGAGGCCTTGAGATATTCTCTCTCATTTTGATTCAACTGCTAATAAAATACCTCTTACTCCAAACAGAGTATAAACTTTCTGTTTTACTTTTCAACCACAAAATTAGACTCCGACACCTATCCTAAGCATTAATTAAGACAGCCCTAAATCACGTTTTACTTTTTTTTTTTTTCATTTTTTTTTTTTTTTATCATACAGGGGTGTATGAAGTGGAAATAGATGCTGAAGAAGACAAGGTAACAGTTACGGGAAATGTCGACCCCACAATATTAATCAAGAAATTAGCCAAATCTGGCAAAAACGCAGAGCTTTGGGAAACAAGCCCGAATGACTGGATCGAGAATGACACATACCTGAACGGAATGCAGAGTCCGATGTATAGTTTCAATTCCTCTGAGCTCGAGAATTATCTAAGCAACAATCAGAAAGCAGAAACAGAGATGAACGAAGATTTCTCGGACTGGAAACAAAATGACATCAGCGATATGGAAAGTATTACCTACACTTCACCCCATCCAGGTTACTATGCTCCTGCACAATTCGACAGGCTCGAGAACTTCTACACGGGGTGGCCAGCTTATGCGTATCAATACAATTTACCTGCGATGATGGATAATAACATGCATGCACCGTCGTACAATTATACATATCCTGTGATATACACCAACATGCAGAATATGTATCCGACGAACAGCTTGATGCATCCACCTAACTGCTTCACTTACGAGAATTGGAACGGTCATACATTCGGAATGTAAGATTCGACTCTATAGTTTACATTTGTTTCTGCTTTTGTAAGATATTTTAAATTCTGGCTGGGAACTAAACGAAATATATTTAGATATTTTCTATCGAACTAAACGAGATATATTTATTTATTTATTTTAAGGATAATTCTAAAATTAAGTGCTTAATTGCTAGTATTACTGCCTCGTAGTAAATCCAAAGAGCTCTATTGATTTTAAAATTCAACTACAAATGACAAAATGTACATTAGTGAAAACATTATGTTATATCGTCAATAGGAGTACGAAAGGATGCTACAAGATATCTAGTTAACTAAAACTTTTCGCGTATTAGTGAAAATTGGAAGCCTAGATTTCACCTCGTTTACTTGCACATGCACACGGGGACTAAGTTTGCTTCTTGTTGTGAATTGAAATTGGAGGGACAACCAACGTTGGTATTTCGTACTTCAGTTCATGTATTCATGCACTCTGTGTCATCCAAAATCTCTACCACTGGAGCATACTGCAGAAAATTGAAACATTAATGAACATAAGTGAAACGAATATTGATTAAAGTAAAATAATCTACATCATCGTATACATACCTCGTCGTCTTCGTCAAAATAAATTGCGTCAGCTGTACTGTTCGGCTGAAAGTGCCAACCTAAAGTGTCCTCAAGCAGTGATTTGAGTCTTCTCGTCTTTCACAAGATAAAAGGAAAATTTTAGCCATACGTTATTTCATTTTTAAGGGGCATTTTGGAGCTATCGAATAATTGAACTATCACAAGCAAGTTTTTACATGTTGTGACCCCAAGATCAAATAACTTTGTTTTGTGTTTTCTAAGTCAAAGCCAGAAATTGAAATCCACCATATTGCAGTTATTTAATAAAAAAAGTAAGATCGGCATTATTAATATTTGATATTATATTACAATAATTCAATATAACTATAATTCCCTTAAAATTTGTATAATAACTTGTCCTTGTAACCCTCAAATGGCAATGACAAATAAAGTAAATCCATACTATTCAAGAATACATACCGAAGAGAGAAGGTCCCCATCAACAACTGGAGCTTCTAGTACCAGGGAAAAGAAATCCTGCAATTAAAAAGGTATAGCACAGTTAGCCCAATACTTATTTGACGAAGTAATACTAAATTTAGAAAAAAGGTTTAACGAGTGTAAGTGGTAAATTTCAGGTTGATTGTTAGTCAAGTAGTATTTTGAACCTAGATTGGAGACCGCATTATGATTAAGATCATCTAATACTAACTGCAGATAAAAGAGTATTTATTTCATCCCCGTGACATTACCTTGCAAATGCAGTGCAGAAAGCTATCAGAAGATAACCAGGACTCGTCCAACAACGCTGACACTCCTTCGGGCATAGCACCGATCTCCTTTTGGTCCTTTTGAAATCCACATTTCAGCTGATAATATATGACCTTAATAAACTGTTAACACACAATTTTCAGAATTCAGAAGGAAGATTTGACAAAAAGGATGAGAAATATCTCAAGTAACAATAGAATGCTCCTATTGTATCGTAATTGAATGCTCCTATTTATTTTTCTTTTTCTTATGTCGAAAATAATGTCGTAGTTTCCTAAAGCGGCATATTTGCAACAATAACAGATAGATAGATATGAACTTCACTAGTATACCTTGGTGAATAGCCGACTCCTGGTGCGAAGAGGCTACAAAAAAAGGAAACAACAGCGGTGAGGAATTGCATATGACAAATATTTCTAACACGTGTTTCAAATCCATAAAGGAGAACCTCCACGAGAGAGATATTTATAAAAACTCTTTACACAGTGAACAGAATTATAAATACTGAATAAATATATTTTTTAGATCTGCCTTGTCAAATTATAGTATCTCTGAAACGAAGTACAGGTAAATTGCCAATCATATCTATGAATAGACTTAACAGATGTACAAGACACTCATATAGGTTAGCAACGAGCTACAACCCATATACTACACAAATTCAAACACTAGCAGAAGTTCAAATTCCGCAGAACCAAGTTATATTTGAGAATCCCCGACTATTTATCTTTTTACTCAGAGCTTTAGCAGAGAAATCTGTAAGGCAACCTATAGAACAATTTCACTGAATAAAGAAACAACATCTTAGTACTGCGTACAAAGTAATGAAGTTTTTGCTAAGATTAGCGCTTCTCCAAGACACTCTAAACTAAATATTAATTTTGTGATAACTATAATTTTGTTGCAAGCCAATTTTCAAATTTGGGGCCAATCTTCATATAATTGATAGATTCTAGAGCATTTAGGATGGACAAAGGTTTCTCTGCTATGTTGATCATTTTTGCACGGAAAACAACTAACAGAATGACAACTTTTTATAGAAAAGAGAGTGCAGTTTGTCAGATAAATATGGCGATTAATTTAAAGATCCGAAGATGGGGACTTACAGCTTCTGTGCAGCCAAATAAGAGACTCGCTAAAAGCTTCCACTGTAGAAATGCATCAAGTGATTGTCCCATCTGAATATTTTTGCATAATTTAGTATGTGAATGTTCAAACAGATCCATATTCATGCATAGCAGAAAAGATCAGAGGGCAGAGTTCTTTATTACCAGAAATGCAATGAATGCAAACTGCAGTTCTCCTAAAAGTGCATTTTCATCACCTCCATATTCTTTCATCAATATTCTTTCCAAGAGATGCGTCTGAAAAAGAGAAGAATACTCCCTAAATCAGCATACTACAAAATCTCCAATTTGACAAATAACAACGTTCAAATACCTTGTCGAGATTCAAACTGGTAAGCTCTTCCACACCTATGCCCTTTTGCTTGACAATCCGAGGAACTGCAGTGTAATAACAACCACTTCTTTGGGACTTCTCTTCAGGCACTGAAAGCTTGCTGTTCTTTAACTGCTCGGCCAATGTTTTCTCCATGGACGTTTTAGTTGACTTCGCAAACATATCAGATTCACAGGCAATTGTGATTTCTCCTCCAATAGGTTCTGTAAAGTGTACATCCAGTAAAAATCACTAAACATAAGGACAGACCTAGCAGCATAATACACATCAAAATTCCAGGCCTACATTGTTACACGAGAAATTCAAAAACAATTCAACAAATGCTAGACAAAAGAAACACAAAGTCATCCTCGGAGAAAAATATTCAGTTTCTCCAGTGAGTGGAACGGTCGCAGCTTTACCATAATAGCTACAGCCAACAGGGCCTCTGTGAGAACTGAGAACTAATTCATTTTGGATACGTAGAGGCACATAGTACCCATAAAATTTTTTTTTGTATTCGCCATGCATAGAGTCTGCATTATCTACACCAAAGGTGGTCAATAAAGAAAAAGGCCAATTACATTTTCTACGAATTTAGTTGCAGAGATAGGATTAGAGTTTCTTCATTTATTGTTTAATGTCTAATGCCTCTATTGATGTAATTAAACTTTTATTCATCTAGAAAACTATTGGTTCTTCATCTCTTACGCAAGTTGTGGCAACAACTACAAAAGTCAAACTAGAACATGAGACTTAATCCAGACTCCACCTCAGACAGACAAAAAGAATATGAATGTCATATTGCTACAAACAAAATACACATCACTGTAACCCCCCAACATTTAATTTGCTATTTAAGGATCCGATTTCTTGCTCATTGACACTGTTTAGTAATCCTCTCTGCTTAACATAATCCCAGTCATTTATTTGAAAATCCAACCGAGGAATGCAACAAACTATGGTCCAAAAGGAAGTAAAAATCAACTTATGATGCAATTCTAGGATCGGGATTCGGAAAGAGAGTAACAAAATATCAATTGACCAAATATGAAATAACCTACCAATGCGCTCAATTGTATCTTTGGTGATATAGTTTGACAGATGAATCCAATCGGCATACTGGCTCAATGTGTATGGTCCTAGCTGCTTATCAAATTCCAACTTCTTAACCGCATCAGAGTATCTTGCTTCCTGAATAAAAAAGAAAAGGTTACTTAAAGCATCAAAACACCGAAATGGAAGTAAGTGTGTTAATCAGGAAAAACGTTTCCTACCATTCTTTAAGATGGTGACCTAAACTATGGACCAGAAGTTCATCTCTATTACTCTATATACTAAGGCAACTAACCATGGGAAAATAAATTCAATGATCTTAGTAGCTTTCTGGGTAAACATAAAAAATCCATCTCAAATAACGAAAAATGGAAAAGCATGATTACTCGCATAAAACATGATGCTAGTAGACGAGCATATTCTACGCACACACTAATAGAGTTTTGAAGTACAAGTCAACTTCTCAAAGTACTTAAAAGGCTCAGGCTTCAAACAACGACGGATCCCTAAGATATGACATTTTAATAGCCACTTTATGTGCATATACATCATCAGCGAAAACTCAAATAAGTAGTTTCACGACGACTCACCTCTTCTTCTGACAATTTGACAAGATGCTCTTCCTCTTGATCCCATTTCCGAACAATAACCTGCCACACAAATTTTGATATATAAGGTTCTTCGTGTACGCATGTTTTCTTATTGGATGATGGAAATTAATCTATCACAAATCAATAACAGAGGGTAATAAATAAACTCCATGTATAAGCCAGTAATCGACCAAAAAATAACCAGCGGGAGAGAGCTAAAATGATAAAAACTCGTACGGAAAATCCCATCTCGGCCACGCATCCCTATTGGCCATGCTCAGTAATGAGTCACCTTATATGAAAAACATGCTCATAGTTACTGCAGTTATTACTAGATATTTGAAGCTGGCTTCAAATGATCCACCTTCATCAGTGGTAAACAAAACTGGTTCGATAAGACACAATAATGTAAGAAACTTTGTTACTTTCAGTTTATCCTACACCATAACCAGCAGATTTCATTATTAATACTATGCAAACATGCGAGGTTAATGATTGTTTAAAATCAAATGTCACCTTTGATAAGCATATTTATAGGACACCAAATAGGTGTCCAAATTTCTAACTATCATCCTACAAGTCACCATTAATAAAGTGATAAAATGTATCGAACAAACAATCAGGCAAATTACAAAAGATTTTAGGCGGTCTGCATGTGAGATAACTAACATAAAACTAGACATAAAATTCATATACACAGACAAATATTTGAACACAGTGGCACTTTAAACAATTGGCATCACAAAGAAACCAACAATAACCGAAAGATGTAATAATGCTAAAAACCTGTGAAGGGCTGGCATCAACGAAGAAACCAACAACAGGAGAAAACTCTCTGCCTTCCCTGCACAATCATATATACATTACAAATCAATACATACATTACAAATCAGCTTATCCAAATTTACAACTTAGGTGGTGTTTGCAAAAGCTTATTTAAAAGTAGAAGTTATAGATTACGAGTTAAGTTAGTTTTAAGTGCTTATTTCCAAAAAGTTGGTGTTTGCAAATTGGCTGGAAAATCAACTTAAACAGAAAAAGCGGTGTCATGGGTGCTTAACAAAATATAACTTAAAGTTGCTTATTTTAAGAGAAGCAAAAGCAAAAAGTTCATTTTGCAAACACTTAAAAATAGATTATGAGCAAAAAAAAAGTTTATAATCTATGTGTAAAACCTTTTGCAAACACCACCTTAATCAACATTACAACAACTCTACTTATTTCTTGTAATGGAATAACACAAACTTGACACTTGCAATCAAAATAACAGCAATTTAAGAAAAAAAACAACGAAAAACCTGTTCGACGCGCTGTAGTAGATGAAGTGAATACCAGGAGGAATCATCTTGATTCCCTTAAAATTAGGACCCGATGAAAACATCTGCATAACAGTAACCGAAATTCAAAATCAATCATATCGAACTCAATCACAATTCAGCAAAAAAAAAAATTAAATTAAATTACTGGAGAATAAAATTTCGACACACAACACAAACCTGGGTATCGATGCCGATGAGTGTATACTGAGGAACGTCGAGAAGAAGTAGAGTAGCGCCATGCTTCACGAATTCCAGAGCTGCCTCTGCGTCCATTGATGGTGATTTGAGTTTTGGCGTATGTAGGGATTTATAGTGGGATTTTAAATTCTCAGGGTTTTTCAGCACTGCGTAATTGCTAATTGCTTTCTTCTTTAGATTCTGTGTGTCGATTTTCTAGAACAAAAGACAGATGGTTCAAGCAAATAAGTCCAGTCGTATTGACTGCAATGTTTTGAAAACCGGACCGGCCGGTCCGATCGGTTCAACCGGGAACCGCTCACCAATCCGGTCCGGCTAGACAGCAAAACCCGGAAAATGTCAAAAATCGGGATCTGAAGGATCAAAACCGGGAAAACGGTGGTTTAACCGGAAAATCGCAAACCGGATCAAAAACTTGGTTTTTGTGAAAATTGCTATTTTGTTTCAAATAGCAATTTAGGTGGCAAAAAAATAGTCACAAATATACATACAACTCATACAAATTTAGGTGGGTCTTACTGTATATTAATCAATTCTAATTTATTCCATTGGTTCCTTTTAGAAAGAAAAAAAAAATTCTTCAAATGGTTTAATCAATTTACGTATAATTTTTTTTTTTTCCATATATTCAATGATATTTACATAATTAATAATTAAATTAAATCTTATAGATTCATGTTAAAGATAAGTATTTTATTTTTAAAATATGTTTCTACGATAATCACTTAAAAATTATTTATAAATAATAAAAAATACAAAATAAGTAAAAACCCAGTTGGACCCCAGTTGAATCGGTCCAACCAAGACCCAACTAGCTCTCCGGTTCGATGTCCGGTTCGATTTTAAAAACATTATTGAGTCTTTTCATAAGTCCACATTTTATATGGCTTATTTGAAATATATATTAAAAAAAATCAATTGTTTAATAATTCCAAAATGTATATTTGACCAAGTATAGCGTTTCGTAGACCGTATTTTTCTTAAAATAATGTGTGTAAAATTTAATCGAAACCAAAATATATGCACTATTTGTTTGTAAGGGGAATTCGCTATAGTGTTGAGAATCACTTAGCTAAATTGCCTACTTTAAATGAGGATTTGATAATTTAATATTTAGGGGTAATATGCTATAAGTCCCTCAAACGAAACTTAATTTGAACTAAATGATAAGTCGAAATTCATTTTTTTAATTAAATCTTTAGTTTCAAATAATATATGAGCCACATCCCTAATTTTTTTTTTAATCCCTATCTTGCCCTTTTAACCTAAATTCTCTAACCTATATATTCACGTTTCTCCAATTCAGATTTATTTCGTTCTTTTAATATTCTCCCACGTTCTCTCTCTCTCCATCTCTCAAACGGTTCTGCACATCTTTTTACAATTTTTTCTTCTCTCATCTATCTATCTCTATATCTCTCTCTTGTTTTCAAGACTAGTAGCACAATGAAGGGGCAATAATAGACGAGGCGGCGGCGGGGTCTGTGGTGGTTGAGGCGGCGGCGGGGTCTGTGGTGGTTGAGGCGGCGGCAGGGGCTGTGGTTGTCGAGACAGGGGTGAGGGGTTGTGATTATTGAGGCGGCGGCAGCGGGCTATGCTGCTATGGTGGTCGAGGAAGCGGGGGGTTGTGCCGTTGTGGTGGTCGAGGCGGCGGCGTGGCTGTGGTGGTCGAGGCGGGGTGAGGGGTTGTGATTGTCGAGGCGACGACGGCGGGCTATGTTGCTATGGTGGTCGAGGCGGCGGGGGGCTGTGCCGCTGTGGTGGTCGAGGCGGCGACGGGATGTGGTGGTCGAGGCAGCGGCGTGGATGTGATTATAGCGGAGATTTGATGGAAAACATATATTTTTTTACCATTTGAATCTGATTTTCTTGATCTTCAAGAGATTGTGCTTGATTTGTGTTCAAAGTGGTAGATCTAGGTTTTCCCAAAGTTGGTAGGTGACTACGGTTGTGACGGCTGCAGATGTTGGCTACTAGGGTTTGACGGCTGATGCGTTGAGGATGCTAGGGTTTGGTCGTACAGCGTAGTATACCATAGTACACTGTAAAATACCATAGTACACCGTAATTAATATACCGTAGTACACTGTGGTATACCATAATCTACTTCAGTATTGACAACAAAAAAAAAAAAAAAAAACGAAAATAGTATCTAGAATAAAATATTTTTTTAATAGTTGTGTGTAAACCATAGTACAACATAGTATACCATAGTATTTTAAAAATTTGCTGAATTATTTAACGAAACCCGAAATTCGAAACATAAGGAAAAAAATTGTTTATAATAATGTAAAAAGTGCTAGAGTGAAAATTGAAAAAAGAAAGATGAGTGAAAGGGTATTTTCGGAATGAATTTAATAAAGGATGTGAAGCAAATGTTTAGTTGAACTTGTCATTTAGTTCAAATTAATTTTGTCATCAGGGACCTATATCTTAAGACCCCTAATATTTATATTTACAACTAGAGTTGTTTTTAGTTTCTGATTTCCAATTCGATTTTAATTTTTGAAATTATTTTCAAAATATAGGAAAATGTAAAAACATTTCTGCAATGACATACTCGCAACATCAATATATTTATTTATTTTATATAATAGATAACTAAATAACACCAAAATTCCAATGTTCCATTTTTTCGAAATCTCTTAAAACGAAATTGAAATTACTTAATCATTTTAGAAAAAAAGAAAATTAGAATTTCGCTGAAAGTTAATTTTGAATCACATCCGTCCGATTTCCACCTCCAGTTACACGCAAAAGAAAGAAAAAAAATCACCTTCAACAACACCAAAATGTTATATTTATTCTTATCGAGCAATAAGAGAGAAGCAAGAAAATTAATCTATTCATTAATCTTAATTCTTAATCACTCATCCCCATGATTAATTAATTAATTAGTAATTAATCAATCCTGCAGGAGATTCCCATCACAATCGTACAAAATCTTGCCGGAAAAATCAAGCGGGCGGCACTTCTCTCCTTTCATAATCCCCTTCTTCCAAACGGCGTCGTTTTCATCTTCTTCTCCGCAATCAACACCAAATTCTTCACCCACATCTTCTCTCTCATCCTGCACTTTTCTCCAAGAAATCATCCTCGCCGCCATTAAAACGGCTTTCCCGCCGCTCAATCTGCCCTTAATTTTCTCCACCACCGCCGCCGTCTTATTTCCACCACCACCGCCGCCCAATCTCACTGTTTTCCGATGATTTTTGTTCTCTCCATGAGAGCCGCAGAGAAAACTCGCCATGGTGAATAGTGAGAAAACCGCCGCTAGAGCAATGAAGAAGGTGACCGGAGCTGGTAAAAAACGAAGCTTTTGCATGTGGAGTGTAGTGATTTCCGGCAAAGGTCTAACCATGGTTGGACTTGGGTTAAGGAAGGAAGGAAGAAGAAGTTGCAGAGAATGTTAAGAGAAAGGAAGAAAGAGTTCAGAAGGCTTTATTAGTGAAGCTTCTTTCACTCCCATTATAAAGAAATTGACTTGGAAATTTAGTGGTAGTGGACCATTATATGTGGCAAATTACGACCATCCCTGACTTATGGTCAAATTACGAAAACTCCTCTACTATTTGAGTAATTACAGTCAACCCCCTTAATTATGTATTATCTTATGAAGAAAAAAAAACCTCCATAAGTGAATTTAGGATTGTTAAATCGGTAAAATCGAATCGAAATTTCGGTACGCCAACATTTCATACCGTATACTGAACTGAATATACGATTTGGTTCGGTGAATATATAACCGAATTACATAAAATTTTATGTAAAAATATTTAAAAGGAGGGGTGACTATAATTTCCCAAACAAGAGGGGGGTTTTCGTAATTTGACCATACCTCGAGGGAGTGGCTGTAATTTGCCCCAAAAAAAAAGAAATTAGAAGGGAAACAAGGTAAAGAGAATACCAACCTGCAGAGCCCAAAAAAAAAAGAAATTTGCCCAAAAAAAAAAAGAAATTTCGATATATGTATAGATTACGTTCGATTACTACTATTAAGTCGAATTAATCAAATAATAAGAGTTAGTAAAATATCAGTCGCCAAGATTCAAACTAATTTAGGTCATAGATAAAAGGTGAATCGCAGTATTAAATGCTATTGTTCAATAAAATTAGTAGTTGTCGTACCAAATTCCGCTAATTTAATAATATGAGTTAGTAACATGCTCGATTGTCGAGATTTAAATTAACTCCGGTCATATACAAGATCACACCCACAATTAAATGTTAATTTCCGATTATGTTAAAAGATGTTCGGCACTATCCGTTGTGATTAATTTCGACTAAAATGGAAAAAAGTGTTTTAATCCATAAAATATTATAGATTAGGATATAGTTATTGTTAAATTTGGAATAGTCTAAAGAGATGATAATAAATCTAAATGCAAATTGCACTCCCTGTAAATTTCTATTTTTTGCACTTTACCCCCAAAAATTTTAAAAGTGAATGTTTCTCTTCAAAATATTATTCTTGTTGCACATTGTCAGATAGCAAAACTCATATGGATTATTCATCGGAATTGAGTATTTTTGTTGCACGTTGCCCCTTTAAATGTTATTTTCGTTGCACGTTACCTCTTAAAAACACTATTTTTTTTACACATTGCCCCTTTAAAATGTTATTCTTGTTGCACAATGCCCTCAAAATATTATCTTTTGGGGCAAAGTGCAACTAAAATAAATTTCAAAAGGGGAATACCTTTTTTTAATTTTTTAACAGGAGGGAGTGAAATAATAGAAAATTTATAGGGGGCGAAGTGCATTTTGTCCTAAATCTAATACAAGGAACTACACATCTTATTAACTAACAAATTAGTAAGCATCACAAAATTAATACGATTCAATTTGATTAAAATTAAATTGAACGAGATCTCATAGTCTATTAATTCTTATATTGAAGAATTTTTTTTCTCATAATTATTTATTGTTAAAGGAGTTAGTTATATAATTATTATTTTTAATCAAATTTACACTTTATGAATATAACATTTATAAGCATATGAGCCATGGGGTCCCTAATTAATTTTGGTTCTACTTTTGGTCCAAAATTATCAATTCACACTAAAGTCGGATTTAAATCAGAGGTTTCAAATATGATAAATGACTCAAAATTGGATGAATTTGATCAAATAAATAAAATGGATTTAAAAACTTGAAAAATAGATTCATCCCAACAATTTTAGACTTGTTAGTTAAACTTCTATAAATTAAAACACTCATAACTAATAAACTTTTATTAATTTAACAAAATATTAAATTACTGAACTAATAATTTAATACTTTTTACCTATTCAGAACCAAAGAATTATTAATTAAATGAGGTTATTAATTTATCGAGTAGAAAATCCCGAATTTTGAAAAGAGTCAACGGACGCATTGTCGTGTTTTACCACTCAGGAGAGTAGAAAGATAATGGACTTGACTGGTTGACTTGAGTCAACGATTGGGTTTTGATAAAATTACTGATCAAAATAAATCTACGTGGATTGTACTTAAAGATGGGGTTGTTAAATGGTGACCATCACAATTGGAAAATAAAAAAAAAAAAAAAAAAAAAAAAAAAAAAAAAAATTAAAAAAAAAAATTGTGACCAATTAGCGACTACTGTACAAAGGTGGTCTTGCAAGTGAAGAAAACGTGTATATTAAAATAGCAACTACTGCACAAATCAAACAAGTTGTTTACGTTTTCTTTCCAACCGATTTTTTTGGCTTTTAATTATTAATTTATTGTGGCCCGAGTAGTTAGGAATTAGGATTGATTAATAAATTTGAATTAAATTATGTCCTAACTAATTACCTTCGTGAAGTTATTACGTAGATAATACGGTATGGTTGAGGCCACGTGAAATTATAATTAATTATCAAATGGCCATCTAATTTACTTTCTAATTTTTTTTATCTTTTATTTATTTATATAAGGGATAATTAGCAATACCCCCCTCATCTAGGTAAATGAGTTAACAAAACCCCCCCTCCCAAAACTAATTAGAGAAAACCCCCTTACCTAATATTCTTCCCAAATATTATTTAATAATTCCCAAACCACCCTTATTACCCCTAAATTATAGCCATTGACTAAGTTGTACCATTGTGGCCTCTTCCCCAACCAACCCACGTCACATTCTCACTCTCCTCTTTCTCTTCTCTCTCTCTATCTCTCTCCTCTTTCTCTCGCACACACAAACACACAGGCACACACACACACAAATATTATCTCTTCTCTCTCTCTATCTCTCTCCTCTTTCTCTCGCACACACAAACACACAGACACACACACACACAAATTACACACACAAAATCAGCAGAAGCTGAGGTATTTTTTCCCTTTTCTTCTGGTTTGAAATTTTGTTGTTGCCATTCGTTTCGAGTCTTCTGCCTTTTCGATCTACCGTGATTTTATACAGTTTTTTTTTACGGTTCGGTGATTTGCAATTCTTAAATAGCAAAATGATTTTCGTGTTTTTACGATTCGATTTGCAATTTAACAACCATGCTTTCACTTGTTTGAAGCCCGACGACGGCCTTCGTTTTTGTTTAATTTGGTGTTTGTAGAATTAGTGGTGTTTGATTTATGGTTTAATTACTGTTTAAAGTTTGTCGCATTTATGATATGGGTGGAGGATTGCGATGGGTCTGCTGGCGGCGGTGGTTTTGGGTGGAAGATTCCGATGGATTTGCTGAATTCGCGCAGAAAAAACAAATTCGCGCAGGCAGGGCCCTTAATCGACTACGTGGTTTAATCGACTATGTTCAATAGTCGATTAAGGCTTAATCGACTATGTTCAGTAGTCGATTAAGTTAACCGACTCTAGTTGTTCAATTTTTTTTTTTTTTTTGATTTTTTGTTTATTGATTCCAATGTATAAATCAATTACAATGTTTGTATTTTTTTTTAAATATAATTGATTTTGCATTTTTTTTGTAATTGTGATTTGTTATTTTTAATAGCTAAAATTTTAATCGACTATGCATTAATAAACCTGATAGAGAAAAAAAATTAAAAAAACCAAAAAAAAAATTAAAAACAAAATTAGAAACAAAAAAAAAATTAAAAAATTAAAGATTTTCCTTAATCGACTATGAAGCATAGTCGATTTAAGACTAATCGACTATGCTTCATAGTCGATTAAAAAAACGGAAAATAATAAAAAAATCGCGGATGAGGTGGCGGGCGGGGGTAAAGCTGGAAAACATAATGGCTGGAAATGGGTGTGGACTTTTCTCAAACGGACTAAAATATTTTGGGCCTCCCTCAATTAAAAAAAGTAGTGAGGGGGTTTTCTCAAAGAGCCCCTTTATATAATTTATCAAAATCCATTTCTCACCTATAACTATGAATGATGGAGTATGATGATATACATACCCTTGTGCAAATTTGAATGCAATAATTAAAATTGTTGGTTCGTTGGGCCCAAATGGATTACTTATATCCAGCCAATTAACTATTTACATATGAGGCGGCCCAATAACAAATTAAGCAATACTTAGAAGGTGTTTGGCTAAACTTATAAGATGTTAAAAGAAGTTTACAAGATTTTTTTAAGCTTATAAGCTCTTCTAAAGTGTTTGGTAAATTTTAGAAAGAAAATATTAATTTTTTTTAAAATAAGCTGTTGGAGAGCATAAGATCTTTTAAAAAAAATACCTCTACCCCACCTTTTTATTTAAGATTTTATAATGAGTAAAAATTGAAAATAAACTCATTATCCAAACACTCTAAAAAATAATCCTAAAAATAAGATATAACAACTTATCAGCTCTTAAAACATCTTATCAGATGTAACAGCTTATCAGCTGTTTAAAATAAGTTTAGCCAAACACCCTCTTAGCCTACTTGGATGCGGTCGAACTTTAAGAGTCACGAGAGTCTTGATCGGTTGATCCTGACCATTGATTTCCACCGAGTGACCTGAACCATTTACTTTGCGGTATACACCTCTGTCTTTCTCACAACTCTAATTTCGATCCTTGCTCTCACTATTGTCATTTGTTCGTACCACCGCGATGAATGCCTCTTGGTATTTTTCGGCGACACATGAGCTGTTTGACAATGACCATGACCATCCATTTTCTGCTCTTTGTTTTAGAAACAACATACATTTTTCATCTACACATCAAACGCCATGTGTGAGAGAGAAGCACGACGCACAAATTTGAATCTCTCTTTGATTTACGTTCTTCTTGAGTGAGTGAGATCGATTACTTCCGAGTAGGAGAAACACAAACACAAGAGAGTGTAAATTTATTTGAGAAATTTGGCCAGAAATCCGAGTGATTCACGCAAAATCTAAGGTTTTTAGTGACCGGACTTAGTGCAGGATTGTTGGTGTGAACGAGAAAAATGACAAGGAAACCGAGTCGTAACAGAAAGTTAGATTAAGTAATTGACTTTCAACTCCTAGAATTGTTTCTTCATAGCTTATAAGACAAACAACTAATATTTCCAAAATACCTCACAAAAACACATGTTTATAAGAGAACATACATTACGTCATTTTATTGCTACATGAGTACAAAAACACAAACGGAAGTGACTAACGCCGTTACATTGTCTTCACATTGAAATCAAAAAAAACAAAACGGAAAGTACGAGTGATTAAATAAAGTAACTCAGCAGTTAGATTAAATAGGAATAGAATTGGAAACGGCGGGGTAAACAACGGTGGCGGGATGGGCCATGATACGGCGGCCCTTCATGTGTCGGAAGCAGTAGACGAGAGCTCCGACCGGCCACTCCACCAGCGCCGCCGCCGCAAATGCCAAGAAACCCAGCGTCGGCCCCACCACCTTGCACCTGCATGGGTTGCTCCCGGTCCCACACTGCACGCATATCGGAACACCAATCGCCATTTAATTAATTACTCGATCCACAAATTGCTTCTTTTTTTCTTTTTTTTTTTTTTTTTTTTTATTAATTCGAAATATATAAACTTTTTTATGAAAACTGAACTCGGAACTGATGTTTATGTAGGGGAAGTGTTTTGCTACGTGGCGGCGTGTCTTTCGTGACACGTGTTGCTCTGCCATGGGAGCTCGACACGTTTTTCTTCTACCCTATTACACGTTTTCAATTCGCCTCGGTACAAAGGTTTTTTCGTATTTGTTTAATTAATTCACCAAAAGAGAAATGATGAACAACCGACTCACAGCCATTTTTTCTAATAATAATAAATTAAATGTTATTAATTCAACAAAATTATTTTTTTGTTAAATTTCGTTCAATTTTATTGGTAGGTATTTCAATTTCAAATGTGATTTTGATCTATCTTGTTCTATGTATTAGCTTCTCGGGTTGCTTCTTTATCTTGTACTTGAGTTTTAATCGTAATATATTTAGTATTTCCTTTTATCTTTCGTTTACTTTCCATTAATTGAACGTTGGACGGAGAATTATATGCATGAATGAGTTACAGTTTAAATATCAAAACAACTCTAAAGATGGAATTTGTAGATATGTCTCACGTGACATCCAACTTAACTGATTCAAGTTGGATTAAAAAGTCAATCATAAAAATTACAAAGTTGATATTTTGAATTTCACCAAATACAAATAAGTAGTCAAAACCACATACGTAACAACAAAATTAAAACGACAGTTAACACTTCCCATTTTTTGTCTATTTTAATCCGTGAATATCATTTTTGCCCCCATGTTTTAAACTCTAAATTCAGATGCTACACTTGGTGAAATACATAGATAAACAGTTTTCTACGTAGACACAAGCCCGCACATATATATAGAAATGTGTAGGGGTGAAAGTCGGATGGATCGGATCGGAATTAGCCTTTTCGGAAAATTTCCAAAAAAATTCGGAAGTACAAAATCAATTCCAATTCCAATTCCGAAATTTTCGGAATCTAAAAATTCATTCCAATTCCAAAAGACCCGGAAATTTCGGAATTTCGGAAAAAAATCGGAAATCACATAAGCTTTAAAATTTCAAAACTTAGCCGAAATTTTCTAAAATGTTCATAATTTTTCGAAAATAAGAGCATCCACGTCGATAAAAGTAAAACTAATAACTACTAAATTTCAGTTCAAAAAAATAAATAAAAATAAACACCGCATAATATCCAATAAAACTTCTAACAACAATTCATTATGTCAAAATCCTAAAACAAAACTTATACGTGTATTTTTCGGAAAATAAGTATTATATAATATATACTATTTATAGGTGTATTTTTCGGAAAAAAATTGGAATTTTTCGGAATTAATTTCGGAATTAAATCGGATCGGAAATCGGAAATTCCAAATTTATTTTAGATAATTCCAACTTCGACATTTGTTGTGCATGTCCGGGGATTATTCCTTTTGGGGCGAATAAATTCTTTCTTACCAATCTATGTAAATATTTACTATCTTGAAATGGCATCAAATTGAGAGAGAGTGACCTTACAAATTTACACCATCATCCACATGCAATTCACCTTTCTTGAATTCCTTATATAATTAACTATAGAAAAAAGAGGTTCATACTTGAACTAATACCAATTCTCCTTTCCAATTATAGCCATAAAATTACCTAACCAAACAAACCCTTGTACCAAATTACACATATATACATATACATATACACCAAGAGACCATGCATCTAGCTAAGTTCACTCACATCTTCCGTTTCTTTCTTCCTCGTTAATATCACGTCGATTAATATTTTTTCGAACATCGAGAAAATTAAGATGCGCGTTTTAACATTCAAGCGGACTTCAATTATATTACTAACGGTTCTTGTTTTCCAACTCTCAGTTTCGGTCACCACATTTTCTACTGAGGTTTATCGTGAAATATTCCCCGAGCCAATTAGCATCAAGTGTGGGGAATGCCCTTGTGCCAATCCATGCAGCCACCAGTCGCCGCCGCCACCACCGCCACCGGAAAATCCAGGGCGGTACTGTAGTCCACCACCACCAAGTCCCGTGTATGTGGCGGCAGAGATTACTCCGCCGCCTCCACCGAGGTTTAATTATGTAACTGGTGCTCCTGGAAACTTGTACCCAACTGATGATCCATTTAATTTGATGGTATACTCTAATGCAGCAATTAATCATTATCTTATAAATTTAGGGGCATTTCTATTGGTGGTTCATTTGTCAGTGTTTTGATGAAAGATTAGATTCAGGGTTAGTATAGTAATTTCAAGAACTAGCTGTTAATTATGCTTTAATATTTTAATTAATGAAGCTTTGCTGATTCAAGTTCAAATACAGGGAGTTTAATATGACAAAATAATATCTTAATGAAATAATTCTTTATTCTTTATCATAATAATATGATATAGAACATATAAATTGATGCTCTAATCCCAAATATTTAATGGATTAATCATTGTCAAAGTAAATTGGCAATTATATATGAACTGTAGTGCAATAAACCAGTAATTACTAATCGATAACAAGTTTGAGAGGGCTGAATTCCGATTCTTAGAAGAATTCAAATTTCCAAATAGAAAGAATTATATAAAGGATTTACACAAATGAATCTCACATAGCCTTACTATCGAGTGATTTGATTGTATTTCGACGCCATATTGCAGTTTCGGTATCAAATCTCAGCTCCCATGTGGGCCAGTAGTGCAAATCCTGCTTCAGTGAGAGTACTCGAGGCTTCCCGTTTAAGTGAATTGTTTTCACACGAATAAATTCACCGTGCTCTATTTCCTACAGAATTCGTATTTTGAACGATTTAAGTTTCAAGAATATGAGTAATATAGTAGCAACATCTCGTACTAATACCACACCTCATCCTACATGATCAGATTGAAATGAACACTTTTGGAAAAAAACCATTTTTTTGGAAATCAAAAAACTAAAAAAAAAATTGAAATTTGGTCGGAATATGGAATGAGAAAAAATTGTTCCAAAATCAAAAAAGTCGGAATAGAATTAGGAAATTCCATTTTTTAGTCGCTTATAATGTAAAATACATAATAATATTGATATTATAAAATGTAATTTAAAAAAAACAAATTGGAATTTTTGGAGATATTTTCGGAACATAAAATCAGAATTGGAAATTGGAATCTAATGCGTATTCCAATTCCCATCCAAAAAAAAAATCAGAAAATCGAAATCGAAACTTTTGGAATTCGGAAAGAAAAATATTGTTCCAAAATCGGAAAAAAATTAGATTGGAATTGGCGGAATTTGAAAAAACCATTCCAATTTACATCCCTACCAACACGTCTTGACAGGTAACAAATAACGCACAATTGACTTTTTTTTTTCTTTTCTCCGATAAAATAGACGCATACCTTTGAAACAGCGACTAAGGCATCTAAATCCGGAGTCGGCTTTCCGTTTACTTCCACAATCCATTGAAGAGCATATAAACCATATCTATGAGCTGGACTCCCATGACACCACCTGAAAATTTTATTTTTTGCACCATTAACAAAAACTAAGTATAGCCCAATTACATTTGACCAGTTTGTAATAAACAACTTTATAGTTAAGTACGAATTTGTAATAAAAAATATTAATTAGCTTGGGTTTAAGAGGTATACCTTGCAACATATACACCGTGGCCTTCTTCAGGCAGAAATCCAAGAGCTCGTACAGCTGAATGAGGATCTTGTACTATACAACCACACCAATTTATGACACGTGGCGTACCATTCCCATCCCTCACATCTGTCCCCACCGGTATATCCATTTCACGACCCTGAAAATTAAAATATTATAGTTAATCCTTGTTTGGTTGGGAAAATTAGTTGAACTTTCTTTGATATTTGGTAAACCCAAAAAATTTCCGGGTCAACCCAGAAATATTTTTTCATCATGGCTTATCTTACTGGTCGAATAATACAAAATTGGGGTTTTCGTGAGATTATTTGATCTTTATATTGGCTAATTGTTATGACAAAATTATTAATAGAACGAAATAAAATATAATATATTTTCTGTAAAAGCAAACCTGGCGAAAAATTGTCAATTCGAGCTTTTCATTTTTTTCTTTATATCGGTCTAGTTGTTGGCAAGCATCTTCTATATCACGGAAACATGTTACTGGTGCTTTATTGATCGCCAAAACCATGTCACCTTGTTCTAGTAAATTTTCGGCTTTAGATCCAGCTAAGCAGCCTTTAACCCTTAGAACTTGACGCCTAATCGGATCTTTTTTCACCAGTGCCTGAAAATTAAGAAACCCAAATCATTTTAAGACGTGATATATCCTGAACTATATAAAGGAAATCAATAAGACAAATAATTTCCCACATATTTGTAGACAATAAGCTCGTGCAATTATAACCCGTGTAAGAAATAAATAAAAGAACATGTTTTACCTGGATCCAAGAGTCGCTCAGACCAAAACTACGAGCTTTGGAGAGTAAGGTGGGATAAAGTTCGACCTCTAATATTCTGATAAGTGGCATAGGCCTTTTGATTCCATTTATGAGAAGGGTGCGATCAACCGCACCCGAAATGATTTTGTCGAGGATCTGGCATATTGAGTAAATTGGAATACCACGAACAAATTGATGGTCTTCAGATGATGTACAACCATACTTGAGCTGGACAATTCGAGTACAGGCAGCAATTAGAGAATGCTTCAGATAAGCTCAATATATATAGGGTTTATTGCATTCATCACCCCTGTGTTTTCTCTAATTGCTAAAAAACTCCCCGTGCTATTTTAATAGCAAAAACCCCCCTACAATTCAATGTTTTTTTAGAAAACTACTCCCATAAAAACTCACTATTTGTGTACTTAAAGAAATGCATTAAAGAAGATTTTTGTTAATATTAATAACACCGGGAGTTTATTAGCAATTCGATATATATTAGTAAATAGTACATAAATAAAAAATAGAGGGAACGCAAACCTGTGTTGAAAAGCTCCCCCAAATAGCTCGAACCCTACCAAGGTCATCCGTAAGAACACCAGAAAATGTACTGCCGAAATCTGAAACGAGATGTAAGAAGAATCAGTACGATGAAATTTCATCCAGTGCGCTGTAATAAGTGGAAAAGGACGAACAATTTCATATCTGGTCAACGATTTTTGTTTCTAACGCACCAGTATCAAGCTCGATTACTTCCATATTGGTTGCTCTGTATCTAGGACAATCAGCAGAGCCAATATTAAGAGCAGCAGAAGGATTTGTGACAAAAGATTTCCTGGAGGTTGCCTGTAGACTCCTACTTAACCCCACTAGGCACACAGAATCTCCACGGTGCAGTGCTGGTTCTGATAAAAACATGTACGATCAAAGTTGTTTGCAGGCGAGAGAGTGGGAGAGAGATAAATACAAAAAAAAAAAGAGCAATAAAAAGAATAGGCATCGTAAAAAGAAAATCCACAGAAATTTACTTATTCTTCTATGACCACTTGTTAAGCAATTAGACTACATACCAGGAAGAAGTTCAGCAGCTCGAACTAAAGAAGCACCAGCAGCAAGAGCAGAAGGATCATATGCAACAAGTGCAAAATTGTGCACTGGGTGAAGAAATACAACCTGTCAAAAAATTTTACCAAACTGCTTAACATCAATTTGGTAAACAGCCTTTCACAGCTTAAATAATAAATACATATATATAGGAAAATACCTCGCCAGGAATTTCAATTGGATAGGCAGCAAAAGACAGCATCACATCAGAAACGGACACTGCAACCGTGTTTTTATCAACAGCAACCAATCCCATGGTTTGAGAGCGATATATAATAACACCGGTTCCAAAGAAATGCTGCGAGTGCACACCATCAAGCATACAAGAAGACGGCACGTGAACCTACAAAAATAAATAATAAAATATATAAAAGTCCACAAAGGCGACTCAAAAGGATGAGTATCGAGCATTAATGACAAAACAATATCCCTCAGTTTTAGTCATCAAAGCATCATAAGAAAGAACTCGTTCAACTAAAAGGTTGCTTCTTTACTTGTTTATCGGATAGTAACAATGCTACTGATTCCATCAGACCAATTATTGCATTCTTATAGCCAATCCTTTTTTTAAATTTTGAATTTCATAATTACAATAAGAAACAGAAACACAAAAGCGGAAGTAATATTAAATATTAAATCTATACAGAAGTTACTTTGTGATTATATTACCTCTAACATGACAAGGGTGGGTTCAATTGCATGCTCAGCTACAGAAGCATTAGTTGCAACAGCAGCTGCCGCACCTTGATAATCTCCCAAAACTGTATCTGTTCCAGTTCCATTGTCCTCCAATCTTTCTTCCCGAGGCTCATGTAAGGAACATTCCGGCAATAATACACCGTCAGCAGCGGATAATTCCTCCTCCACGCGCCTTTTCTTGGTTCCAGAATCAGTTTCGTCTAGAGAATGCGGTCCTTCATCAATTTGTTCGCAGCTAGTTTCCATACTAGTGAAACCATCCATCGACTCTTGGACAGGGCATTGATGTGCTGGCTCCATTTGTGCCAACTCAGTGGCGCACGACGGAACTCTATTGCTTGCTAAGTCGTGTTCGCTGGGCACCTGTGGAGATAAGAATGGAGAGTCTGGTGGCAAAACTGGCTTTACTATCCACAGGCCAGAACTGTCGTCACGAGTATATATTTGTGGAGGGGCGTACCACTGATGGCGATCAACTGTGACTAGTACAGACTGCAGACACGTAAAAAAAATTACAACTGAATAGTAAGTATTAAATGTTCCACAATGACACAAGTACTAGGAAACTTGTGATGATATTTTTTTGACAATCATAAAATTTGACTAGATAAAGCAAAAGGCAGACGAGAAAAAAACCAGGTAAAAATTGATTATGATAATACTTTTAGGGTGCATTTGGATGGAGGGATTTGGGGGAGGAATTTCAAATCCATAATAACAAATCCCTTGGACTTGTTTGGAATGAGGGATTTGGAGATGGATTTCAAATCCACACCCCTCCTTTTTAGTTGATTTTGGAGCAATAGTGGTGGATTTCAAATGACTCTAAATTGGAGTCATTTCAAATCCCTTCCCCAAATCAAATCCCCCCTCCAAATGGACCCTTAAGTAACTAACTAACTTCAATCAAACAGAGAACACTCAACTTGATCAGTGATCCTACCGGTTCGATCAGTATGAAAAAAAAAAACTAGTTGACTCGTAATATGACACACACACACCACACACACACACACACACACACACACACACATATATATATATATATATATATATATATATATATATATATATATATATATATATATATATATATATATATATATATATATGTGTGTGCGCGAAAACAAATGTGAGAGCGCGTATATAAATAACAAACAAAATACATATATATGAGTATGTATTTGAAAACACACAAAGACATAGGTGTAAAAAAATATGTATGTGAAAAACCATTGCGTTTGTGACACAAAATAAATTTCATTCGGGAGCAAAAGCATCTTAGAATTGCTAATAGAATCTTCGTTTTCTATTTTTGAATTTAATTGTTCAAGACATAATTATAGCATTGGACTAGCTGCAGTACGGCAGAGGGGTTGAATTTTAGAGTCACCAAAGCCCATTTTCAAGCACTAGCTCTGTTGTATCTATTTTAGTGGACAAGATGTAACTACTTACTACTATTATTCTCTGCAATGAAATACTTCGGATTATATGTGAGTGGATTTTTGGCATTATTTATCAAAAAAATATCAATAATGAGCAAATAATCCAATACTGTATTTCACATGAACTACAAGTACCTTTCTTCTGTGGCGATCAGAGTAGCTTATATATTCAAGTGGTACTCTTGCACCTCTTGATAACTTAGATAGCACAGAAATGAAGTCTTCGAGTTTTGATATGTCTTCACCAGCAAACTTCTTAATAATAGCATGCCGTGGAACTCCAGCTCTGAATAGCATGTACCTGCATTGTGCAATTCGAACAAATGCACCGTTTTTATTAGATACGACAGTTGGTAAAAATGATTATACACAGTTCCCGCTCAGGATAATATATCATGAGGAAGCTTCAATATTACTTAAAGAGCAACAGATAACGAAAAATTTGGATTCAACATGCAAACTGAAAATGATAAGCTAGACATCTTTGAGTATATGTTTAAAGTAACAAACAATGCATACCCTTGTTCCGCAACATAGACAAGACCACACTGAAAACGGAAGTTTCTGGCCTGCATAAAAATAAAAAGTTTATGGCATTAGATAACAATTTACAAAGACAAAATATACGACATAATGAGCATTATAACGAAGATGAAAAATCCCAAGATCCAATGATTAAGATATAAGCCAACCTGTTGATAAGAAAGAGGGTGTATGATAGCACCACTGAGTTCAAGAAAGTAGTCGGGCGTGACAGAGTGCAAATCCTGAACCTGAAACAGTTTGAGGAGAAAAAAAATGCAACCATTAAGTCAATATAATCGGCAAAGAACAATAAATAGCTCATCCACATCATCACAAAACTAATATCTGAACTTACAAGAAGTCCCAACCCAACTTTTGTTATAAGTTCAAGAACCATTCCACCATAATATGGTATGGAAAAAGGATTTTATATTAAATCCATCTACAAAGAAGACAAATGACGTATGCACTTGCAGTAGTATCAAAGAACAGAACCTTGTTTAGAGGACAGCTTTGGGATTTTAAAGGAATAGAATTGAACAAACTAACACTTCCCAGTAATAAAACTCGCAAGAGTTTACAAGGAATAGTTTATATCTCACCGTCAAATCCACAGTCAAAGGTTTGCCTCCCCTTTCAATCTGAAGTTCAAGTTTATGGTTGACACTGTCATCAACCAAACTCTCCATCTTCAGAAACTGTGTGGTCACCTGTAATCAAGGTTCTTGAAAACTCATTATTAAAGTGAATAAAAAGACCAATCATTTCGAAGTGTGAGCATAAAGTATAAGATTTGTAATTCAAATCTTCATACAAATATCATGAGATCTCATTAAAGCCCTGCCCCATGTATAGGTGATTGGTAGCGTCTATTTAGGCTTTTAGCTTAAAAAGTGAACCAATTTCTGGTATTTCGTTAACCAAAAAAATTGGAGGCCTTCAAATTTAAATTCAGGCAGATCTTAATTGAAATATTCTTTCTAAATCTAATTGAGAAGACTTAATTTACACCACGATTCTACACTTATTACAAGACTTCACTCAAGAATCAAGATACAAGAAAATCAGAACAGTTCAAGCAAATCTATCTTAATTGGGGTTACCAAAAAATGCAATCCATAGATATAACAAATAAAAATTAGGGAGACATACCTCTCCATTCAAACGTATAAGCACGTCACCTGGCTCTAAATGCTTATGGGCTGGACCATATGGTACCTGAAACCAACAACAAAGCATGGCGGCATTCATATAATAAAACAAACTCAAAGATGATATAATGAGAATATTCCACTCACCACAGAGTCAACGACAAGCATTCCAGTTTCCCCAAGAGGAGAAGCATGACGTACTAACTGAAGAAAGAATAAGAAAAACGTAAGTTTTTCTTATCAATCCATAAGCAAAGACCGGGTGGGAGGATATGGTAATCAACACGAGGTGAGAACTTGAGAATAAAAATATAGATACCTGCTCTGTTTCACTTCTGAGACCAAGCCGGCGTGTGTCATCGAATCCTTTGTGGAGAAATGTAGCCTATATCACAGGTATGTGAATACAAGTCAATCAAAAATGCATCTGAGATCTCCCAAATATAAAGAGCAGAGAGACAAATAAAGACTATGTTTGTTTTCTGAAAAGATTATGTTTTCTGAAAAGATTTTCAGTAAACAATCTGACACCCAATTTTCCGTTCCTAACAGTGAAACGGTTGAAAGTTTTAAGTCATTATTTACGAAATTGTAGCAGATTCCTGTTTAAATCCAAAGCAATTCAGACTAAAGAGCTCATACAAAAAGACAATAAAGGTGTACTACATAGTTTTGAAATTTGATGAATGAAGAGTACTACAAAAAAATATAAGTAACGACGAAGAGAAAAACTCTACAAGAAAAGACAAACAAACCTGAAGCGTACCACGGGGAATGGTGACTGCCTCCCATGAACTACTATTTGAGTCTCTTCCTTCCTGCAAGAATCTTAAGGCCCTAACAACCTGATATCCAAATAAATGTAGCTCTTATTAATAGGTAGCAATATAATCAGTCTGTCATTTACAGAAAATTCAGGCCTTACATAGATAAACAAATGCAATTTCTGACCAACATAATTTCAAACCGGGAACTGTATAACTTAAACAATTACATGAAACATAGCATCAAGCAAGAGTACAAGCTTAAGATCAAGCTATGGTTCCACAAATCAATAATGAGGAAGAAAAAATACCCATGTGATTTAAGCAGCAGCGAAGAACATAAGATTTATAAGTTTTGTAAGGGGAAATATGGTTCGGAAAAACATCTTCTTACTCGTTCTAAAGGCAAGAAAAATGCCGAAGCACTAGAAGTTTTACTCCCAGCATTCAAGGCAACTGCTCTACCTTGCCAGTCAATTACAGGGGACCCACTTGACCCTCCTTTTGTTCCTGAAGCTGCCTGTGTAACAAAGAGAAGACGAAAACACAAATATATTACCAGATATGCAAATACCTAAGCACAAAACTGATAAGTAGAACTATAGAGCAACTCAGTCGTTACAACGGCCGAACTAATTATGTTGAAATTTCAAGCATATATGAAGATTACAGATTGCAAGTAGACGGTAAAATCATTGTCCAATAACTTTCTCAATAAGATGCTATCAGAGATCTAGGTTAAGCATCGCTTCAAATCTGGATCTTTAATTGTGACTGTTGCAGCCAATTATGTTTAGCTTTAATACACACTATGTATAGCTTTAAAATAAAATATTTTCTTCACCAAGTTCTCTCATATTCTCCGAAAGTGGCTAATTATTCTCTCAAGCAATCAAAAACACTAATCAAGCAAATGCACAATGGACATCCAAGAATTAATTATACATACAAGAATATATATCTTGTAGCAAAGTAACTAAAATAACTGCACATATCAAAACAGTATCCATTATTGTGAACTCAAAAGCTTACTTGCATGTAGAATGTATTGAAGTCATTGTAGCCATCCCTGCATAAATGGTTAAAGTTCACCATCAGTAGCAGAGTCTGTAGAGACGCTTTCAGTGTGGATCATAAAACAAGTGATACACAAATCACAGTGACCAAGCAATTATATAAGATATATAAGGCTCGTTTAGTAACAACGCTACCATGAAATCTTCAAGTGTATATACAAGTAAAACAATTCACTCCACAAACTGGACACGAGTAAAACACCCTCATACTAAAATTATGGTCCTATTTTGATCAAGAATTAGATGAAGTTGAAAAAATGTAACTTTTTTTACCATGAATCCCTTAAAAGTTAAAAGTAATGGGGTGAGGGTAAGTTCCGTCACATCAATTCAATTCAGGATAGTGCTGGAAAACAAATTTCATCCCATTATAGGAAATTGAGTCTTATTATGAGAGACAGGGAGAGTAGCATAAGGCCTCCAATATTCGTGGTTGCCATCAATCAATCATGATCAACTAGAGAAAAAAAAAATTACGGCAATGTTTCAAGTGGATGTTACACTATAAAAGAACTTACTAGAATTTCCGTCCACTCCTTTACCAAATATTCATATATACTGAAGAGAAAAGGTCAGATAACATAGTTTGACATAGAAAACATACTTTTTATAGTGTGGAGCATCTCTATCCAAACGGGCAATAGTGCCTGCCAAAATAGACACCTGCAAATTCACAAAAGGGAAGAAAAAATTCCTGAACACAAAATCCATTGTTCTTCTGGGAACAAACTGGGGAATAATAAAATTAAAAAACTGGAGCTTATATTTGGGAAAAGGTCAATATGTCTGTAAAAATATGAAATGGCAGTTTTGGACATATTCACCGTTGTGCATTTGAAAACAAATTGTGAACGGGTATAGGATACAAACCATGATATATTTATATACCTTTTCTCCACTATCATTTCCGACAACCCTAATCTCAAGCCCAACACATGCAGCCTCAGGAGCGAGAGGAATTTCTTCATAGGTAAGAAATTGTATAGCAGAAGGATCATAACGGAAGAAACCGAAATCATGAACCTAGAGAAACAAAAAATGAATGTCAAATTTTGAAGTCAAACTCAACCTTCATGTTTCTCAAGCTCAACCAGAATACTCTTAACTTGCATACATTTTCATGAAGGAAAGAGATTAATTAATTCAACAAGCATTAGGTCGGTGAAACTGTCCTTGTAGCTAAAGATACTTATAGTTAGCTTAAACCACGATGATTAAACCCTATTTATAAATATCTTAAACCCCATTCACAAAGTATATAGATTGAGCATAAACCGAATAATGATTACACCCTATTCGCTATACATAGGTTAAAATATGCAAACACGACTTCATAATTTATTCTTAATGTACAACTAAATAGTTATAGCAAAAGCAAACTGAATTATGCATCCTGTTCGTGTACTGTATTTTTTACATCAAGAATCAGAATAATCTCACAATTTCAGACAAAATAAAAATTGATAATGAAATACAATTCACGCATGAACTAAATTCACCGTAGCAGAAACTAACAGGGTCTCTATAAATTGGATACACCGGAATTTCTTCTCTGTTCACGAACATAGCTTCTGACACCACCGGCCCTACAAAATAAAAATTTAAAATTAAAAAAAAAAATAGTAATCCAATCACTCCCTAGAAAATTAAAGCGAAATCACAAAAAAAAAATAAAAAAAATAATTAAGATTTTCAACCTGGCTTAACAACATGGCGGTTGGTGAGGATGATCCCCCGTGACTTATCAACGACGAATCCAGTGGCGTAGGACGCACCGGCGGACTCGGTGTCGAAGGCGCGGCAGGCTGTGGTGCGGAGGACCACGACGGCGGGAACCACCTTGTTGAGTGCCTTCCGCCAGTCATCGGCGGTGGCGAGGCTCTCCTTGAACGGCGGATCGATCTCCATGGAAAGATCCTCCTTCATGCTCGCCTCCATCCCCGCTAAAGCTGCCTCTGATCCCATACTCTCCATCTCAATTTTCAACACCGCCTTCAAAAACCCTTACTTAATACAATTATTCACTCTCTCTCTCTCTCTCTTCCTCCAATTGTGCAATGAGTTCGAGAAATAGATTCCGGTTTCAAATTGAGTGAGAAGGGAATATGAGAACCTACGGGAAGGAATATTCCGGCGAACTGTGCGGCGAGGGGATTTTAATGATTTTAGCACTCTGTTTAAGATTGGGAATTGCTGATTTTTTTAAATTTATTTTCTGGATTTTAGCATTTTGTTTTTCCTTTTCCTTTTCCTTTTTCTGTTTACAGCTTTTACTACACTATTTTCCTTTTCTAATATTCAAATATATATTTACTATTTAGCAAACAATATATATTTGGCATTATTTCCATGTGAAATAATGTCATCAATAACTCGCAAGTCGTAACAACTCTTGTAATAATTAAAAATCGTGTCGCCGTCATATTTACTCTACCAACTAGATCACCCGTTACACAATTCAAAAATAAAAAATATATTGTTCTGTAAGAGATGTCTGACGGTTGAAGTAAATGAACATGTATCAATTGGGCCCACGTTCGAATCATTTTGCTAATGGTTGCTAGGTCGAGTTTGTCACACGTAGTTAGTTACCTGATGTAGTTTACGTCTCTCGTATGATTTGTAGCGCAAGAAAAAAACAATTTTTAAAATTATATGATGACTCGTATAGTCTCGTATGTGTCATAACTCATAATGTCATTGTCAATTGCATAATCTAAAGTAGGTGTGCTGCTGTTGTCACCTTTCATAATAATTTATTTAGTGGATTGTTATTTTAATTTAAAGCTCATAATTATAATGTAACATTTATTGTTAATTATTTATCTTTTGATTTCTTTGATGAATTCCTTATCTTTGCTATATAGATTGTTTGTTACTATGTTTGACTAAAGAGTATAAATTAGTAATATGTTCTATTGACAGGATTCAAATTGATTCATACTTAGTATTAATTTTGTAGGTGATAATTTTTTTTTTAATTCTCTCTATAATATACTATGAATTAGGAGATAATCATTATTAAATCAAGAATATTATTGATAATGAGAAACAGAAAACTATAAAATAATTAACAATCAACAATCATACATACACATGCACAATGTGTATATAATTAATACATTAAAATAAGCTGACATCACTCTGAAAAATATGAGTAAATTGCAAATACTACCCCTGTGTTATCTCGAAATAGCAAAAACCCCCCTGTGATAAATAAACTAGCAAAAACCCCCCTGTGAAATTTAGTCAAAGGCAGAATCCCCCCTAGCTGATTTTTTAGACTTGAAATGACAAAATTGTCCCTCAAAATGTATTTATATATATACATATTATATGTATATTTATTAATTTTAATTTATTTGTTTAGAAATTAAAAAAAATAGTAAACAACTAAATTGATTATTTTTTAAATAAAATAATTAAAATATTTATAAAATATAAGAATTTATTAATTGCAAGACTCCAGGGGTATTTGTGTCTTTTTATATCAAGTCAACCCTCAAATAGTTCCATAGGGGGGTTTTTGCTATTTAAATAATTTCACGGGGGGGGTTTTGCTAGTTTATTTATCACAGGGGGGTTTTTGCTATTTCAAGATTACACAGGGGTAGTTTTTGCAGTTTACTCGAAAAATATAGCATCAAACCATTGATATTTACATTCAATTATTTATTTTATCTTTACATAACATGGAATCATTTTATTCACACGTACCAGTCACACGTACCAAAGGCCTGGACTAGCATTCTTCAGTCTTCTTCTTTCCTCCCATTTTAACAAAAACACAGAATTTATTAAAAATAAAAAATAATAATAATAAATATGGAGAGAGAGAGTTTTCACTTCAATGCAACTTCAGAAGAGCAACTATTTAAAGCCCTCTGCTGCAAGTGCCTCAAACTCTGCTCCATGCTAACTTGCACCATCTCCGAAAGCATATTCCTCGCCTTCGCCGTTTGATCCTCACCGTCAATACAGCACATAATATTACACACAATATTCTCCAAAGTCTCCCCTTCAATCTCAGCCCTCGGATAAGGTTTCTCTCTCAACAAACGCAACAGCTTCTGCGCTTTCGTACGAGACTTGACCGTTCCATGTACGGTCAGCTCTAGAAGACCGGGAATAACACCTTCTCCGAGAATCGCCTCTCGATACTTCTCCCTCTCTCTCTCGCACATTGTCAAAAGTATCCCGACGGCATATTCCCTGCTCTGAACCGACCCACCCTCCACCACTTCCACCACCGCAAGTATTGCCCCCTCTTCGGATAAAATTACATTTCTACCCTCGTCGAAATCCACCAATGACTCGATCAACGCGGTGCATTTTTCCGCGATTTTCGAAGACTTTTTACAGGTTTTGAGCTGAGTGATTAATGGAGGTATAGGGTTTGTTTGGAGGATTAGGATAATATTATCCGGATGGATTGATAAGTTGTAAAGGGCCATTACGGAATCGGTTTTCGCTTGTTGGCCCCCGAATTTTAGGATATTTACGAGTAGAGGGATTGCACCGGAAGCACCGATTATTGGCTTGTTGAGCGGTGATGCGGATAACGTTATCAAAGCTGCAGCTGCGTGCTCTTGTAGGATTACGTTTTCTGACTGAAGGAAGCTGATTATCGGTTTCAAGGCACCAGCTTCGATAATATCCATCTTGTTTCTGCAAAAAAAAAAACGACAAGGAGATTAGGATACAATTAACAATGTATGAAATATTTGAGTTGGGGGTGGAAATCGGAGAGATCAGTTCCAAATTAGCTCTTTCAGAAAAATTCCAATTTTTTCGGAAGTCAAAAACTAATTCCGATACCGTCGTTCCAAAAAAAAAACGGAAATTGGAGTGAAAAAATTTGTTCCAAAATCGGACATTTTCGAATCGGAATCGGCGGAATTCGGAAATTCCAGTTCGTTAGTCGCCTATAACATAAAGTATATAATAATGTTGATATTATTAGTGTAATTTTGGAAAATAGTCGGAAAATAGAATCGGGTCGAAAATTTGAATCTAATATGTATCCCAATCCCGTTCCTAAAAAAATTGAAGCATTCGGAATCGGAATGAAAAATATTGTTCCAAAAAAAACGGATCGGAATCGGCGGAATTCGGAAATTCCTTTCCGATTTCCACCACTATATTTGAGGAACCGAAGATCAATTTCAAAGAACGGGATAAGAATGGTTCATCCAAATAACTGCATTGTGATAGAATACACTAGCTAGTATTAATCCACGAGCTTTACTACCAGTAACAGTATTTTTCAGTTTTCGAACATACTACCCTCGTTACTTAGATTAAAAAAAGAAAAAGAAAAAGTGCAATTATTGTGGGCAAGAACAAAGATTAACCCGTTGGAGTAAATACGAAAAGGTCAAATTACTTTATCCCTAATAATCCCGACTAGCAAATAGTAAAGGGACCCAATATTTCTTACACGAAAAGAAAAGAGAACCTAATCCATGTGGTAGCTTCATAAGCAAGATTAAATAAAGAGCAAAGTTATCATTAAAGAGAAAAGAGAAAGCAACACGTGAAACAACAACAATAAAAAGATCAACCCTTCATCAAAGCTACCTAATATAGAATAATAGAAAACATTCATTCAATATATTTTCCGTAACAATTCGTATTAGTACACGAAATCATTTCAGATCCTTTATACGACTTTTAAAGTTTGAGACCTCGATTTAGTTTTACGCCATTTGCTGGAAATGGAGAACCTAACCACCAAGCACAAGTACATGTTTTTTTTTTCCTGAGTAAAAGTTTCAAATTGTGTTTTGGCATAAAATTCTGAATCAAAATTAATTTGTTCATATCCAAATAATTACTGAATCCAAGTCAAAAAGGTGTATAATAAAAAGGAAAAGTGAGAAGTTAAACCTCTATAAATTAATAGAGCCGGACTAGGAAAATTCTATTAATTTAGCGATAATTCAAATTAAATTATTGGGTTAATGATTTAACACGTTCTCAGCGAGAGAAAATTACTATTTTAGCGAGGTTATTAATTTATTGAGGTTCTACGTTAACAAAAATAAAGTGCTAAATAAAGTGATAATAATTTCAACATCATCCCTAACCCTCAAATTTGGAAAAAGATAAAGAAAATCACAGCAATTCATCCCTACGAAACTGACTTCAATTTTAAATTGACAGTAGAAAAAAATGAACTAATTAATAAATAAATAAAAATTAAATAAAAACGGAACCCTGAAAAGAGAGAGAGAGAAAAGAAATAGCATACTTTTCGTCTTTGACGGCGAGGTTAAGGAGAGCGGCGAGCGCGGCCTCGTTGGCCTCGGCGGAGCTGCATCGGAGCATGTCCACGAGGGGACCGACGGCGCCGGAGAAATGGCGCCTGGAGCGCTGCGAAGTTTTGGTCAGGCGGCGGATATCCTTCGCCGCCAGCACTCTCGAATTGGGATCGTCCGATTGCAGAAGCACGAGCGTCTGATTGACGGTGGCGGCGGACGAAGACGAGAGGCTAGAACTCGAAGCACAATCGTCGGCGCCCATTTTTCACTCCCTCTCTCTCTCTCTCTCTCTCTACCGCCCAATTTGAGTTCCCCTAGAGAGAGAAAGTAAGGTTATAATTTGGGGTTAGTCAGCGGCGGAGGCGGTGGGGGTTAGGCAGAGAGAGAAAAATCCTAGTGAGAGAAAGCAGGGATTAAATACTTGATGGAGGTAACGTAAGTTTGAGAACTCGAGCCGTGGCGTTAAGCAACAGTTACAGTTTCCACCCCGGGTGGTGGGTGGGTGGGGGTAGCCGGGTAGGGTGGTTCAAACGGCCGTTAACTTGCCAGTTAAAAAACACACGTGGCAGTTGGATTTTGGAATACTGGTAGCCCCCGCCTCGGGGGGGCGGCTTTTTGTTGTAATTATTATTATTCCCTTGATTTGCAGGTAAAATTAAATTTGGTTATTTTAATTTGTGTATTCAACTAATTAAAAAAAAAACTAATTAAAACTATAGTTTAATACTCTGTTATTATTTATTTATAAAATGTTGCCAAATTAGTGGAGTTTGGAACGCGTGATATTTAACAATTCAAATTTAAATAACAAACCAACACTCATTAGAAGAGTTGATATCTAGCATTTACTAATAGCGTAAAGGTCTACGGTTCAGTCCCCCTCCCCTACTTCCTTTTATAATGAACTTAAATTTACTCAAAAAAAATTATCTTTAAAAAAAAAATTAAATAACATGATTAGCCTACTGTGGTTTACATCTTTGATATGGATTGCAAGCTATTATACGAGACTGGAAGTTTATCCAGTACACTTATATGGTTGTCTCCGGGTTTCTAAATTTCTAAATTATTGAAATTGAAAGCTAATACTGATGGTTCACTATTTGTCAAGCATGATCGATATGGAGTTGGGTTGATTATTCGTGATTGGGAAGGAAGGTTTAATTTAGCCAAAGCCCAATCTTTTGAAGATTGTATTGATACTCCAACGATAGAGGCACTTGCTTTCCGACAAGCTTGTCAATGGCTAATGGCTACTGGAATCAAACTTCGATAATTTTTTTATTGAATCGGACTGTACTCCTATTATTTCGGCTGTAAATTCAAGTTTTGCAAGGAGTGACAAGTTAGTTAGCTGTTGTATTTTAAGAAAAGATCCATTTAGTAATAATTATCCCTATATTTTAGCACTTCTCTATGTATTCTGAATTCAGATACCATTTATTAGAGTTTATTTGCTTCGTAGTACTTTCTATGTTCCATAATATATATTTCTTTTGAAAAAAAATCATATTCCAAATTATTTGCACTTTATATTTCTAATAAAAGGTTAATTATACTTTCTTTCCAATTTTGCCATTTATCACTCTTAATTAGTTAGTTGCTAAATAATTAATGACAAGGATAAATTAGTAATTTTCTATATTTATTGCTATAGTCTATACATATTTATTGATTTTATTAATATGTGTGCAACTAGCAGAAACGTCATATAATATATGACGGAAAAAATAGTTGATTACATATCATCATCATCAACATTATTATTATATATCAAAGTTAATTATAATTAGTTGATCTATCATGACTAATTGATATTCTAAGGCCCCGTTTGGTTGACAAGATAAGATTAGCCAAGATAAGACTAAATAATCTAATGAGACCCAATTATTTTATTGGAGCTTGAAAGGTCCAACAAAAAAAACTCATTAAAAGGCAAGATAAGCCAAGATAAGACAAGATAAGCCATGATTATATAATTTTGGCGGGTCGACCCGGCAAGTTATTGAGGATACCAAACATCAAATTAAGTCCAACTATTTAGTTAATCATGGCTTATCTTGGCAACCAAACGGGGCCTAACTAATTTAATTCGTATAAAAAAATGAGCTAGAACAAATATGCACAATGCGAACACATTTAGCTGACGTGTCTTTTTCTACGTCACAAATAAGAATTGGACAATGTTTAAATGTTAATATCACTTCATAATTTTCTTTGTCGGAATATTAAAAGATGTTGACATATACCAATATCAACGGTCACTAATCTAATTTACCCCGTGTGGAATTACATTTTTGACCAAAACATTTGAATTGATGACTCTTATTTTAAACGTGCACATTGATCTTTTGATTTATATTAGTAAATTAAGCTATAATTAACTAAATAATTTTGACCAATTTGGAATTTAATTAATCCAATAATCTTTCTCTTAGAGCAACTTCAACCCATTGTTATTAAATGGGGTTATTAAATACTCATTTGATAACCATAATTATACTTTGATATCTCTATACAACTAGTGAACTCAAACTACAAGTATCAAAAAATAATTATCAAACAAATTTATGATTATTTATATATTATTTATTTTTTAATTCATTTTAAATAACAATACAAACCGATTTTTCTAGTAAACTATCCTCAAAATCAATATTAATCAAGTTTTTACCTTTTCAAAACCGAAAAAAAAAATTATATATACGTAGTGATTTTTTTTTCCGTGGAACTTTGTTGAAGCTCTAGAGAAAAAGAAATATATTGAGATTTTTTTTCCAGTGGAAGTAAAGAAAAGAAAACTCAATTATGTTGAGGTTTTTCTTTTTTGAGATTTTTACGTAAAGAAAAGAAAACTCAATTTTGTTGAGGTTTTTCTTTTTTCACGCTCCTATTTTTTAGGAGAATATTTGATAATTATTATTTGGGGTGTATTTTTACTTCTCCATGGATAAATTATCAAAATAGAACTCTATTTTAATAACCCCATTGGAGAAGAGAGTTTTTAAAATTGGGGAGTCAAATGGAGGTTAAAGGATTTGATAATCCATTTAATAACCCCATTGGAGTTGCTCTTAGTTTGAGGAATTGTGTCGTGTTTTAAATGCTACACTGAATGAAATATATGTTATACTTCCTCCGTTTCAAAATAATTGTCGTTTTAGGTTGTTGCGCACATATTAAGAAAATTAATAAATATGTGTGGATTTTAGAAAAATACATATAATATGACTAAAATAACGATGTAATTAATTATATCTCAACTAATTAAGAGTAATAACTAATAAGGACATAGTTGAGAAAACAGTAATTAATGCATCACTGGAATTTTAAAATGACAGATAATATGAAGGGTCTATTAGATATAACCCCCTTAAACATTCAAATAATAGGGGTAGACCCAAATTTATATTTGCCATTTTGATAACAGCCCAAACTTTTCATAATTACATAATTACCCTCAATCAAATCCCACAAAACCCGTTACTTTACCTTTTGAAATAAAATCAAATCCCTTCCTATTTTCCCGTTAAATCACTATCATCCCAAACCCACTATCAAATAAACTGCAAAACCTCCCAGAACAACTTCCCGGTACGGCCGATTGAAGGAGAAGACGTCGGCACTGCCGTGAAACGACGATTTTCGTGCACTCCGAGCAAGCTATCGTAGGTGCGTCGTCGCCACTCGCTGAATCGCTATCATCCATCGATTTGTTGATATGTTTTGGCTAAATCGACAATCAGGTTTGTGTAATTGCAAATTTGTTATAATCGCATACCGAATTCGAGCACTAAATCAGTGATATTGCAACAATTGATGGACAGGACATCCACCAGAAGTGATATCGTCGTTGGCCGCCGCCGTCGCCATCACTGCTCCAATCTACGGTTACTCAAATCTAGAATTACTCAAATCTAGGGTTTTGATAATTCTTCGGCCCATAGTTGATTAACGAGATGCATTGTCGAATTACATCTGTATTAATATACTATCCCATATCATTTAATAGACTATCCCACTGGTATAAGTTTACTATGGATCTCGTTAATCGACTATGGCCCGAAGAATCATCAAAACCCTATATTTGAGAAGTGACGGCGGCGGATTTGTGTTTTAAAATTAATAGACTATCTCATATCTTTTAATAGACTATCCCATGTATCTAATTCGACTATGGGTTTAGTTAATTGACTATTGGAAAAATAATAATATATATGGAAACTGAATAATATGTTTGTTTGAAATACTAATCAGTTAGGGTAATTTTCCTTATTATATGAAAACGATTAAGGTAAATAATAATATATATGAAAAATAATAATATATATGGAAACTGAATAATATGTTTGTTTGAAATATTAATCAATTAAGGTAATTTTCCTTATATCATGTAATAGACTATCTTATTGATCTAATTCGACTATGGATCTCGTTAATCGACTATGGATCCCGTATTATTCAACCACATAGTATATTAATAATTTCAATATAGTACATTGATCTGCTATGATAGTATATTACGGTTATAGTAGTGATATGAATTGTGTTACAAACAATATACCACTGAAATGACAAGAACATTGAGAACAACACCAACATAAAGTATTCCAACATAACCAATAAAATAGTACATTAATAATCTCATAATTTCAATCTAGGGTTTTGATAAAATACATAAAACACATCATAACACAATCAAACCAATATGTCGAGTTAAAACTCTAGTACATTAATAATCTCATAATAGTATAATAAAATGATAATGGTAGTATCATACGGTATTCATAATAGTATACTACTGTATTACAACGGTTTAAAACTTAACCGAAGTTACCGAGCCATTACATCGTAAACACCTCTTTATAGTAACCAACCCACCAAACCTCAACAAAATCCGTACGAAATTCGCCATCGAAAAAACCTAAAATCATGAAACAAAATTAAAATTGCAGAATACTAAAAAATGATTAAATAGACTGCAAATACATTTGAATGACAATACATTAATATCATCAAAAATAAACTTAAAATGCAAAATCCATACGCTAATTTAAAAAAGACTACGAACTATATTTTAATGTACTACCCAACATATTTAAATCGGCTGTTATAAACAAATAAACCAACTATCGATCGGGATCAAAAACATGAACTCGACCACATCGGACAATTATTCCGATTATTGCATAAACCAACTACGAAGCTTATATAAAACAACTCTGGTCCGATCTGCTTGAACCATCCTCTTCTAACTCTGTCAATCCTCTTCCAAACAAACATCATCCGCCAAAAATAACGATGTATAATATGATACGACATTAAAAATGCATAATACTAAAAAATATATTAATATGATAAAAAATAAACTTAAAATGCAAAATTCATACGATAACTTAAAAAATACTACGAAATATATTTTAATGTACTACCCAGCGTCCTAAAATCCGCTATTATAAACAAATAAACTAACTATCGACCGGGATCAGACTCATGAACTCCACGACAGCGGACAACTATTTCAATTAATGCGTAAACCAACTACGATGTTCATATAAAACAACTCTGGTCCGATATGCGTGAACCATCCTCATCTAACTCTGTCAATCATCTTCCAAACAAACATCATCCGCCAAAAATAACGATGTATATATGACGGAATAATTTTGTTAAAAAACGTTCTACTTAATAGAATCAAGTATCAACACAACTCTTAAAAATTTCTAACCACCGTAATCGACAATCCTAGACATTGAGCGAAAAATAAAAACGAATAACGCATTCATACCCGGTTAACAACGTTTAACAACGAACGCTCAAATTCGATCCTATTTTAACGACGGTGCAGAAATCTTCAAAGACGATAAAAAAACGCTGGAACGCTGAAGAGAACCTTCAAAAAATATTGTACACGATTTGATATAACGGCCAATGATCTCACGTAATTTTATTCCGTGATTTTAGGCAACGTATCAGCAAATCTCAAATCACGTAGTAAAGGAAATAAATGTCGTTTAAAAATAAAACAGGAGTATTAAAGGAAAATTATATAATATATTTTGCCAAGTTGGTAAAATTGGGTCTATCTCAAAAAGGGGAAAAAAAATTGGATCTACCTCATTAGAAAATATGAACAAGGGGGTTATCCCTAATAAACCCTAATATGAAATAAGAAAAACGACAGTTACACATACTTATAAGTTAATTTGGAATGGAGGAAGTAGTATATAATTCAACACATACTTATAAGTTAATTTGGAATGGAGGAAGTAGTATATAATTCAACACATACTTATACATACAGGTATGTGGATGTTTACAAAGTGTAAATACAAAAAAATCTCTTCTTTTTGAGAACTTACATCCATCCCTCTGCACATGGCCGTTCCTGAGATTTCGGGGGCCCTAGGCGAGTTTTGAAGATGGTTGAAAAATTGGGCGCTGGTTTACGGACTCGACGAATCAGGACAACGTGTT